GGGGGGTGCTTGCATAATCGCAAGAAAACGAACAGCAACCTAATTTCACGCTACGAGTATCAACCACCCAAAATGACAAATCGTTCTAGACCAGAACATACCCAAAAACCACAACACCGCACTTAGAAGCTGACAAAAACCGACGATCGGGACCCCCCCCCCCCAGAACCTTAACTCTCTAATTTAATACCACACATCACCGACCATCGGGACTACTGAGTAGCGGGTTCCAAGCTGCAAACGTCAATCCATCATCACAGTTTCGGGTCTGGACGGATTCAGCAATTGACATCTTACATTTCTACCGGCAGGCTTATCACCACGCGAAGCGAAGGCAAAACAAACATCCCAATAATGACACTCCACATCAGCAGGAGCAGATTTGCCTCCCAGCGAACGCCATGCAATACGTCGACGATTTCGTGATCGTCACTGATAAGGACAGGCAGCAGCCCTCTGTAGACTTTGACGTACGGGTAGTGTTGATTGACCATAGTTGGACGAGACCACTAACATCATCATACCTCACCTCTCCCAAGATTGTTGTCCTACCTCATGAACCGCGATCATCCTGAAGATCCCACCTGAAAGGTCAATACTTTGGGGGGATTGGTGGTCGTACACAAATAAACAGTTGGGACTTGCTGCGCTGCTGTGTAAGCTGCAAGTCAGTCAGTAAGGTCAGTCCTTGACGTCAACGACCTGACCCTTGGGCCTTCCCCTCCCCCCTCCCCCCTCCCCGGGCTGCTTGACCTCATCTTCGGGATACGGGTGATTACCGTACAGGGGGTGGGCGATCATGATCCGAGATCCGGAGCTACAGTAAGGAGTATCGTAAGTTAGGGTTCTTTAGCAGTCGGTGACTTCATCGCTCTTCTTCATTGCATGTGGTGAATAGCGGGGTGCATACTACAGAGTAGGAGATGGGTAGACGTCAGTCACACGATCCCCTCTTCATCAACACCATCGACAGCAACTCGAGTAAAGCCACCGGGTGACCTACTGTGTAGCTCACAGGCCACACAATCCAACTGCACATCCAGCATGACCTGAAAGCAACGCATCCGGAGAGATCCGCCTCCCCGCACAGAAGCATAGCCTACACAAAAACAAGCATGAAACATAAGCACAGCACAGCACAGCACAGCACAACTAATGCCCCCCAAAGAACGGAGCCAATGTCAAACCGCGGAACAAACTCGGCCTTCTCGCTCTCCGACCTTCCGCCCACCCCACACCCTTTCAAAAGTGGCCCTAGCTCGGCCTTAGGTAGGTATCGAGAAAACAGTGAACCCCTAAAAATTCTGGCGCTGGTTCACGGAGCCGCGCAAATCCGTAAACCCCGTCTAGCCCAACTAGCACTAACTTACTACGTACCGTATTCATATCTAGCCCACTGGGGAGGGGGCCAAGTAGGCTACCCGTTGTACCCGTGCGTGCCGGATTCCGGAACATCAGCCTTCCTCACCTCGCTATCCACACATCTGCATCTGCATCCTGCCCCCCGATTCCCCATGTGAGGGCTATCAACGGATACACGGATACACGGATGAGAAAGGAGGGTCTTGGCGTTGGCATATGGGTGTTTCATATGGTACAGTACACCCACCACACTGCCCATACTGGAGGAGTACTTTTACCCTGAGGGGGTTTGAGGGGTTTGAGGGGTTTGAGGGGATTGATTCTGCCGGTTTTATTCTTGTCAGACTTTATTTCTCCGAATCGCCTATAGCCCAACTTATAAAGTATGAGTCACTGTAAGGTTTTATTCAGGGAGGTACTCCGTAGTTATCTAGTGGATGCTTAAGCTTCTGCGTATTCCTTTTCGAATTTAGTTGAATCAAAGGAATCGTAGACATAGAAGGATATGCACAAGGTACGGTATGCTCCGGTCGGAGTCACGCCAGGGAGAGGGGGGACAGGGTGTTTCAGGCCGATTCATCCCCGTTGGAGTTGAGGGTCTCTGGATCTTGACTCTGTTTCTCAGTGGTAGGAGTAATGAACTAGACTATACTATCCCATGCTATATTTTACTGACTACAGCTTACTCTGTTGGCTATCGGGCTATCTGACTGCCAAATGCTTGTCTATAAATGCTGCGAGCATGCTATTGCAAATTCAATGTGTGCTGTACTGTACTTTTGTCTGATGCTTTGTCTGTGTATAATTCCAAAGGGGTGTGCTACGGAGCACTTAGCTTATGCATGTCTTGTGCGTTGGGTGTGTGGAGGAGGGGAGCCAATTGGGTATTTACTGGAGGGTGAAAGCTTACTCGATGCCCTTCCCTGTACGTGGAACGCTGTTGCGGACTGACAGCTGACGATCTGGGGTCCATGCTTGGTCCACTGAATGGGTGGTTGCCTTTGTTCTACGGCTTTTGTTGCAATGGGGTTTGTGCTGGAAGCATGTGACTGTGCTGTACCTTGCTACTGCTGTGCATCTTTACGGAGTGCCTTTTCTTTTCTGCTCTCATTTACTTTACAATCCCCCAATGTACAGTACACACACACACACACACACACACACACACACACACACCACCATCTCCACTCCGCATAAATTGCAGTCCACTATTCACATTCATGTTCATGTTCATGTTCACATAAAGTTCATATCCACACTACAAAGCCAACCCAACCAACCACAGACCAACCCCTAAATCCCAATAAGAATCAAGCTCAATCCCCCCCACCAAACAAACTCCCCCAATCCTCCCCCTTCTTCCGCATCCAGCGCATCCACCACCACCACGGCTCCGACGCCTCCAGCTCCCCGTCCCCGTGCCCCTCCCCCTCCCCCTCCCCCTCCCCCGAAACCTCACACGGCAACAGAATCGCATGGTCCAAGGCATGCGGCAACCCCCGATGCCGCCCGCGCACCTGCATGGCGATGATGATCGCCTTCGCGGGGCCCGAGAACTGGCCGCACAGGCTCGTCTCCGCGCCCGGGTAGCCCAGCGACAGGCCCACGGTGCCGTAGGCGGAGACGATCTCGAACAGGATGGGAAACAGCGCGAACGCGTCGCGGTCGTCCGCCTCGCGCGCCTGCAGCCGGGGGCCCTCGGCCACGGCGATCAGGAAGAAGCCCAGCATCACGTACCAGAGGTCGAAGCCCAGCTGGCGCTGGATGTGGGCGGCCAGCGAGTCCGCCGAGGGGTGGGCGGGCTGTGCGTCCGAGGCGGATGAGATGGTGTCGTCGTTGTAAAAAATACCGAGGCTGCGTTCTTCGTAGACGTTGGTCTTGCGGATGGCGATCGCGTTCGGGAAGGCGGAGATGTACATCATCACCAGGAAGGAGACTTGCGTGGCCGGGTGCAGGGTCGTCAGCGGGGTGATGCTAAAGCCGGCGGTGCGGGTCGAGGCGATTTGGAAGAGGCCGTTGACTAGCCGCAGGCCGGGGGTGATGGTGGGGTTTTGCGGGGTCTGTGTTTAAACGGTTATTGATCAAGTAAGGGTGGAGGAGGCAGCGCAGGACGTACCTCTTGGAGGGTGTAGAAGATGAGCAGGTCGATCGCGTTGAGCAGCAGGAGAACGGCCGACAGTCGCCACGTCTCCGCGCTGGGGAACAGCAGCGTGAAGCACCGACGCGGGTGCTCCAGCAGGTACTCCAGCTCGTCGTCCAGCGGGGACCCGTACGTGGTGAACTGCGAGAGCGTCCAGATGATGAAGCGGAGCATGCACGGGAAGCCCGTGTTGCCGACGACCACGAGGAAGGTCATCACGAGGAGGGGGAACGCCGCGGTCTGGAACGCATCCATCGAGTCCGGCGTCAGGGTGAACCCCAGGTCGTTGAAGGCCGACCCGGCCGTGAAGATCGCCCACCACGGCCGGCTGATGCCCACGTCCGCGAGCACCTGGCTGTACTGGCGGTTCGGCAGCACCCACAGCAGGAACAGCACGATCCCCAGCACGTGGAACACCACGAAGTAGCACACGAGGATGACGAACAGCGTCTTCAGCGCCCGGTACTCGATCCCGCCCAGCTCCTCCTTCTGCGCCTCGTCCCAGTCCGCGTAGCTGGCGATCGACGACTGCCACAGCAGCGCCGGCAGGGCGTCGAGATCGTGGCACGACCGTTGGAGCACGGGCGAATCATACTCCGACAGCGAGCGCCGCGAGCGCGTCCCGGACATCGACCGGCGATGGTGGTGTTTGATCTCATACTCGGCCTCCGAGTCACAGAAGGTGATGTGCGGACTCGTTGATCCCGCCGCCGCAGCGCCATACCTCCGGCCGGAGGAGTAACCGATCAACTCGGAGGTTCGGTCCTCGCCATCGCCCACCTCTAACAGAGGTTGCTCCTCGGCGGGTCTCTCAGCCGAAATCCTTCGAGGAACAGGAGGAGGGGGAGGCCGGTTCTCAATCCCTCCTTCCAGCAGCAGGCCTTGATTCCATTTGTTCCGCTGCGTGCGGCACAGCACTTTGGCCTCATGGATAACGCCGCGGAACCGCTTGCGGAACCAGTAGAGCCGAATCACGACGAGCAGCGAGTTGATGAAGATCACATTGGTCACCATCGACACCCCCCAGAGGGTGACCTGCTGGACCACATGCAGTCGGTTGAGGTCGATAGAGTTCAGCCCCGTCTGGGTGGCTGCACCGGAGGCGAGAAGCAAGGCATCCAGGTACGACAGCCCTCCGGCCAGATAGAGAACCAGCGACGACACCAGCGCCCAGGCAATGATATAGATATAGTGATGGTAGCGTCGCAGGGGTGACTTGGACGGCTCGTGGGTGAGAGGCATGCGGTTTGGGAATGTTCTATAAGCCGATGAAGAGAACCCGGTATCTGTCGTCGATGGGAAAGAAAAAAAATAATGGCGGAGCCGAAAAGAGGTGAAAAAGCTGTTCTTCCCAAAAGACACGGGGAATTAAATACCTCCACAAAAAAAGGCTCTCGTCTCCTTGCGTAGATTCGGGGGGAGGGAGTGGCTAGCAAGAGCCCACAAATGCCTCACACAAATGCATGCTGAATATTGGATGATCGGATCGACTGTGCTGATTCCTACTACAACAGAGAAAGAATAAGGTATCAAGGAGCTACTAGGTAGCTATACTTGCTCCCAATCAAGCTTGGGCCAGTCTCACACTTTATATAGCTGACTGGTCTTCCAAGACATCTACCGTCGAATTCCTGGGGAAGTGGTTACCTTCCAAGGGGGAGGAAAGGGGAGCTTGCAGATTTTGCCAGCCCGGTGTGAGGTTGCACCGCAGGAAGCCGGGAGGAAACTGCATTCAGGTTCAATGAGGATTTCCTCTTGCAAAAATTGGTTGGAATTAATCGCTCATAGTGATTTGAAGCTTGGCACGCAACCACTGACGCACGGTCCGTAGGCTGGCTAACTTTAAAACCTTCTTTGGGTTTCTTCTTCAGCGTTGAAGAAACCGGATCGGCGTCTCACAATTGGCCGGGAATCATTCCTCGAATTGGGGACAAAACTTGCTTGGGGGTTCCAGGGCTGGTGTGGCTGTTGCAGGAACCAGGGGCCGCGGCCGAATCGGTGAGAAAGTCGGTGGCATATGCGTGTCTGCGCCATCCTCAGACCTGTCAGGTGTGGGTGCGACCAAGGAATTGGTTGTGTGGCTTGCACTTGAGCATCAGGCTGTCAGGTTATAAAGTGAGGTTGTAGTCGGGATGACCTCCTCCAATCTCCAGAAAGAAGGGTGGGTGCTGTTGCCTGAGGAAGAAATACACAAGCCCTTCGATAACTGTCATTTGACCTGCTTGAGCTGTCTCGGTTGAATGCCATCAATTGCACTTACAAAGTACAAGTCTACCAAGATTAAGGCTTACGAGTGAGAAAGCGTATTGTAAGCAAACACCAGCATCATCCAAGACAAGATATGTATTGCGCACCTGAACCAAGGTAGACCACCCTAATCCAGCCGAATGTTTTTAAAAATTATAGATAAGAAGATTATAACAACTCTTTCCGTGCAGCCCGTCTCTGCACCCACGGTCCTTCCACTGTCGTCACATCAAATCTAGCAAGACACACCGGAGGGCAAGTTCTCGCACTTGCTGCTGGTCTTTCCACCGGTGACATCAACGCCGCTCCAGGTGAAGTCAGTGCAGCTGCCGTCACCGCAGAGGATGTAGATCTCGGTGGCATCGCTCTCGACGCTACCAGTGACCTTCTCCATCTTGACGCCGGAGATCTTGACGCCGTCGGTGGGGGTACCGGTGGGGCTGCCGTTCTCGTAGTCCTGCTCGATGACGATACCATAGTCGGTGATGTCGGAGATCTTGATGTTGGAGAAGGTGATGTCCTCGACCTCGCCGGTGGCGTCGTAGACGGTCTTGATGCGGACACCGTTCTCGGAGTCGGTGACGGTCGAGTCGATGAAGGTGACGTTCTTGACGGTGTTGTCGTCGCGGCCGCCGACGGAGCCGATGGAGAGACCGTGGCCGCCGGAGCAAGTACCGCCGGAGAAGTAGATGTTCTGCGAGGAGAAAAGGATTAATACCAGCGATCAAGTGGATCGGTCCGAGGTTGTTGCGGCTTGAGGTCCTTTTTCCAGCGCCATCTGTGGGAAACACATACCTCGCCCGAGTTGATAGCGACACAGTCGTCCTGGTTCTTGACGGTGGCACCGGTGATGGTGATGTAGGTACTCTCGCTGATGTCGAAACCGTCGGTGTTGTGACCGCCGTTGTCGTCACCGTCGCTGTTGTCGATGGTCACGTCCTCGATGGTGAGGTAGTCCGACTCGACGGAGATGGCCTGGACGGGGGTGTTCTTGATCTGTAGGCCCTTGATGACCGAGTTGTCCAGGGAGTGGGCGTAGAAGAACTTGGGCTTGGTCTTGCCGCCGTTGGTGCCCTCGCCGTCCCACCACTTGGCACCGTTGCCGTCGAGGACCGCTCCGGAAGACTGGGTGACGGTGATGTCCTTGCCGGAGATGTACAGGAGGGGTCCATCCCACTCCTCGTACTCCCAGGTAGTGGTGCCCTCGAAGGTGACCTGAATTGGACATGAATTCGTCAGTATGCGGTTCGATGGGAAGCACACTGGAAGGTGTGCAATCGAGAGATACTGGGGTTGAGGCAGGAACTTACGGTGGTACCGCTCTTCAGGTCCTTGAGGTTGAGAGTCTCACCAGCAGGAACGGTGATGTCCTTGAGAACGATGTCCGTGCAGGAAGTCTTACTCTCGGAGGCCTGAGCAGCCGAGGTGAAGGTGCAGGTGGAGCGCTTGGCAAAGTCCGAAGCACGGGTGGCAGGGGCAGCAGACACCAAAGCAGTGGCCAGGGTGGCAGCGCAAAGCAGGGAAGACTGGATAGAAGGCATGGTGAGAGGGATTTTATCTGATCAACAGAGTAAGTTCAAAGAGAGACTGTTCTGATCTACAGAACGGAGACAACGAGAGAGAGACAAGGAGAAGAACGAAGGAATGATTGGCTTGGATGAAGAAAACAGCCGAGACAGCAGGGCGACGAGGCCCTTTTATAAGTTGCAAGAACTTCTTGGTGGATTCTGAAGCTATCCATTTCCAAGTTTGTCCCTGAAGGTTTCTGGGGGGCAACCCGGCGAGGCTTGAACGGGCAGGCATTGCTAAGGCTGCTATCAATCTGTAACGGGCTAGCCCCTACTCAGAACGCTAAGTCGAGTGGGCCAACGCGGCATTTTCTTAATTGAACTTGGCTTTTAGTCGTGGGGGCATCGGCCATCCCTATGCGTCAGCTTCATCAACTGCGGCCACTCAATACGACTACTTCTGTTCTGAAAGAAACTGTGTCCGTTGTGCAAATGTTCACCGTTGACGAGGAAGAGAGCGAAAGGAAAACCAGTGATCACTGATCCTCGCATGTTCCAGGCGGGAGAGAGATGGCTATGATGATCCGGCAGCCACAAGCGAAGCAGCGGAAACCGATCAGAGTTCTGTTCTTCCCGTTCGACCCACCGCAGTGGAAAACAATCAGGGGAAGTTGCTTTTCCTCATCGAAGCTTTTGGCGAAGCAATCACGAAACACCTCAGCAATTTCCGTCGCAGGACCCTCTTTCAAACCGAGCCCCCGGCAACGGAGACTAGACCGGAATAACACAAGCCCTACACAATCCGTTGGGAACTTCGTATAGCAATGATAGATTGATGTCGGCAATCCAGAACCCCCGAGGACGAATAGCTCCGCTGATCCATGCCGATTACGAGGTCTGATTTCTCCACTGATCAATATTCTCAAGAGCCACCCGTAGCGAAAGCAATATCGATTTCATTTCGTTCGGCAAACCTCAACAGGGAGCAATCTACTCCCGCCTTGAAGAAAGGCACGCCAATGAGAGCTGTTATAGGGAGCACCATCTTGACCCATCGGGTTTCATTTGGCTCGCCGCTGGAAAACTCCTGGCTGAACTTCCCACAACCCCCGGTCCAATGACAGGTCACCTACAGCCCTTCCATGATGAAATTTCAGCCGAAGTTTGGACCCTGGAAATAATGCAGGAACGGTGCAGGGGGAAACGGTTGCTCTCGACCCATCCCGGCGTGCCGACCAGGCCACAGATGCTCTCGTCTCGAGGTCCGCAATCAATACCAAATCGACGAGTTCGAGTAGACGCGTCGAGAGATATAGTACTGCTTCTTATGCATACAAGCCAGCGAATTATCGTGGCCCGTGGAGTATCAAGTCACCGACCGGTCCACTGCGAAATGAATCAATCGAGCGGATATCACGGCTTCAACGGAGGGATTCACTCAGTACCAAGGTATTCGGTAGGTCGTGGACCGGTTCGGGGGAGATCAAAATCATGCCCAGAGAAAGCTCCCTCCCATCCCTGACCCCAGGCAAAGCTTGGAGATTGCTTGATTGTGCTCTGCCCCAATCACGTCGGCTCGCCGGTCTCTCCACCGTTGATCTTGTCTCAAAGATAACCCTCTCCACTGAGAGAGCGGTGAATGTGATTGAGAATAATGAAACCTCAAATATACCTACTCAATACAGAGGGTAACGTGATGCAGGGATCTATCCAAGCACGCCAGATGCATGGATCACTTTCGGCTTAACGTCGGCTGTTCTGAGGGTCAGACACGCATGCTAAGCATCCAGCGAACAAGAATCTAGGTAAAACACGCCACAAGCTCCTCCAGGCATGAAGAAAAATGACTTCTACGTAGCATGCACGATTGCGAAACTGGGTAGGGGTGAAGCAGTTTGTAGCATAAACGGCCGGGTATACGTACCACATTCCCCACACTACCCCCAAAAGCAGCACTAGTATCTCCGACCATCGGCCCTGCTAACCAGTCAGCACTCGGCCTTAAGGGGTCCTACCCCCGACACATGACCATTTCGGGCTGGTTGAGTTTCATGTCGATTGCCGGGCAGACAGTGGAGTGCCAGGGAAGTTCTAGAATTGCTGACGATTCACATAGGAGGTCTTGGGAACTTTCCAAGCACAATGGACACTGGCAACTCCGGGATTTGGGGTATATAAACACGTCATACTACTACACATATTACCTTAACTGCTTTCCCTACTTTCCCTGCTCTTCCTACTTCCCTTCCTCCCAAGCAACGTCTTTTCTTATCCCTTTCTCTTGGTAGAAAACAGTTATATGCGTGCGCCCCAGCAGAACAACCATAGATTCAAGAACATTTCACCGCTAGCCCAACAACACCTAGGTTCGCTCTCTCATTCCAAAGCTCAAATCAGCACACCATAATCATCAAAGCATCAAACCCTCCTTCATCTTCAAGCAGCACAAATAGTCCCATTTACCAACCTACACCGAACCTCCAACCACCTCAAAACCAAACACCCCCACCCAAGAAAAATCAAGCAAACCCGAACCACTCCATATCCCTCTCCCCATGAATCGGCACCGTGTGCCCGACCCCAGTAGCAAAGATGCCCTGCAATCCCGGTCCCCACACCGTGGTCTCATAATTCGCCTCGGGGGTACTCGGCTCCGTCGCCTGGGGCGCATCGTAGGTATACCCCCAGACGCCGGCCCACTGCTTGACGGTCTCGTAGTAATTCTGCGGGTAGAGGGTGGTGTCGACGCTGCCGTGGTAGATCTGCATGCGGGGGCGGGCGCCGGCGTACGCGGGGTCCATGGCCTCGGCGATGCTGGCCCAGTGCGCCGGGGTGGTGATCGACTCGCCCAGGGCGCAGGTGCTGTTCCACGCGTCGACCTGGTGGGTGGCGCTGGAGAAGCAGCCGGCGGGCACGCCGGAGTAGACGGTCGCGGCGGCGAAGAGGTTGGGGTAGGTGGCTGCCATTACGTTCTGGATCATCCTCGTTATCATTAGTGATGGTCTTGCGGTGGGTGGCGGCGTGGGTGAGGTTTGACGTTTGATGGGGATGAGGGGACGTACCGTCATCATGGCGCCGGAACTTGTTCCCGTCACAAACACCTTGCTGGTGTCCGCGTTGTACGTCGCGATCGTCCAGGTGACCATGTTGGCGATGGAGTTGCTGTTGCCCCCGCCGTTGTGGGTGAGGGTCGCCGGCGAGCTGACGTCCCAGCAGGTGCCCGAGTACGGGCTCTGCGGGTAGATGACGATGAAGCCGTATTGCTCGGCCAGCGTCGCGTAGGGCGAGCCGCTGTAGTACGCGGATGCCGTGCCGGTGCCTAATGCCCCGGAAGGTTAGGCTTTCCATCTGGAAAAGGGTGGGGACGGGGACAAAACGGAGGGAAGGCACAGACAGTAATGGATGGCAACAATGATTCCGGGCTTGGTGGCCAGATTCGTCGGCACGTAGATGTACATGCCCACGTTGGTAGGGTTGCTACCGAAGCTGGTGACCTGCTGTAGAGAGCCGGCTCGAGGGTAGACTGCCGAGTCCCGGTTCCCTAAAACACCGGCCCTGCATGACAATGCGCACAGCACGCAGGTGAGCAGAAGTGAGAGGCAAAGCATCATTTAATGTTGTAACTTGGTCTCAATGCAAGGAGATAATGGTGAAGAGGTGAGTAATTGTTCTCTGCATCTCTCAAGGTGTGTGTATGTGTATATATATACAAGCCCTTCACGGCTAAATCCAGACCTTGTACACAATCAACCTGAAATCGATCCGCGACAAACTCCATTTCTGCCTCTATAGGCCAAGTCGATGGGAGGAGGCGGGGGTTGTCTCCGTGAATCGAAACAGCCATGACTTGTCAGGTATAGACAGCAGGTGAGGGCTGGAGATCGACATTCCCGGGCTGGGCCCCGTAACGGAAGGCGTTAGAGTCTGACACGGGATCATTTGGCGTTTCAGGAACGCACCATGTGAAGTTTTTGAATAGCCGGGTTTCAGCCAAATTGGCAAAGTTGGTAGCAAGGATTATCCGGATAACCCCACCTCGTTGGTAGAGGTGTCGTGGTTGACATTCTGGTGGAGGGCTGAAGATTACAGGCTGCATGGCTGAAGTATACCCCAGAAATCGGCTTTACAGCCGGTGAGCGAGGTTCCAAACAGGCTCAACTCAAAAGATCGCATCGGTTTTCCTCGCCACTCAATCACAGTACGTCAAAATAGAATTTAATCGGGACCTCTTGGATCAATTATGAATCTCAATCAAATTAACAAACATAGAAATGATATTGAGTGATAAGACTGAGGAAACACCCTCCGAATGACATACCGAACAAGCACACCGAATACACAATTCATAATCATACGGTTATCACATTTAGAATCAAAGCAGAAACTTTTTCTAACAGATTTTGTCTAATCGAAAAACAACAGGCGCGGCCACATGCCAGTAAATGCAATGCAGACACAAATCGAAAAAGAAAAGAGTCCATACGACACCTAGCTCTCTCTCTTCTCGTATGACATGGGCAATCGACGTCGTGGCTAGCCTGCAAGTTTCCCGCCCTGATAGAAACATCCGTAGCAAGGGAAGGACATCGTCAAAGCTCTCCGGGTATTGGAAAAATAAGAAAAGGGAAAAAGAAAAAAAGAAAAAAAAGACGTATGAATGCAAAAACAGAAAGAGAAAGGCTCTTCAAACCCTCCAGCGGAACCAACCAATCTCCCTAGATTCATTTCATGAGAACCCGTCTCCCCACCTCACTTCTTCCAGTGATGCTGGGTCCACGGTTCATATCATCATCTGTACAAGGGAATGTCGACAAGCCCCCCACTCTATCTTTCAAACGGAAGTTAGATGAGCGACCGATCTTGCTGGCGAAAAGAAAAATCATGGACGAGAAGATTAGGATGAATGTTCATAACAGATCACAGACATGTCGTGACGATGTGTCGAAAGGGGAACAGTAAACGTAGATATCTTTCCAGAAGAACGAAATCATTTTTGTATTGTCATTGCAAGGGATATCTATGAGGCTTCCTCGCCGGCAGTAGAGGGAGTCTTGGAGGGTCGGCGCTCAACCGCGGGTTGCGATTTGGTCAGCAGAGGGGAGGTAGGGTTCGATGGCGGGGAGGTGGCCATGTTATCCCGGTCTTCCAAGGCAGCCAGAGCACTGCACACTTCGTTAGTATCAACTAGCCAATGATTCTAAATGACCACTCACCTGAAAGCGTTGATCGAAGTAACTTCCTCCTTCTTGCCGACAGGGGGAGTGCCAGTCCGGCTGCTAGCAGCACTATCATCACTACCACGAACCAGGTTGCCACCAGGGCCAAGGTTCTTCCGTCCGCTGTTGCTGCGAGATCCCAGCATGCTAGAGGGTCCGAAAGACATCGGCTGGTTGGTGTTGCGGGTCGTCCGCAGACGGCGGAGATCGTCACTGCCGACCTTGCTCGAGGCAAAGTCCTGGGGAGGAGCTTGGTTGCCGTAGTTGCTGTAGCTGCGGGCGTCACCACGACCCAGTCCCGGGCGGCTGCCGCGGTTGGCCTGCTGGCGAAGACGCTCCATCTCGGCCTCTTGTTGGGCGCGAGCAGCCTAGTGGGGTAATTAGTTGGAGTTTAAAGAAAAAAGGGAGGGGCTGTAGGACTTACCTCTTCACGAATCTGCTGGATAGTCTTGGGTCCCTTATCGGCATCCTTGGAGTGCCAGCGAGCATTACGCAGGTCGATGATATCCTAGCATGGAAGTTAGTCAAGCTGTAGCGATAGCAGGCACTCGTCAACGTACCATCAACATGAAGCGCAATCTGCTGGGCAAATCAGGAGTCTGCATCATAAGGCTGATGCGGTGGAAGTATGCATCCATCATCGCGTGTCCACGCTCCGAGGCGTCGAGGCTAGCACCGATGGTGCGCAGGAGGCTGGTCAAACTCTCAACCTCGGCCTCATCGGGCATACCCTCATAATCGACAAGCTTCTTCACACACTCGTGCATGATACGCTCAGTCAACATGCCCAGCTTGTACAGCTCACCAATGAACTTGACGAGACCAAGACCACGACGCTTGGCAGCAGCGGCCTTATAGTACTCATCAGACATCATAGCAGCTTCCTCCGTCTGGCCTTCAGGCTTAGGAGGCAGGTTGACCTTCCAACCACGCTCGAACTCCTCTTGACAACGGTTGAGGAGGTACTTGCGGAACAGACTGCCACCAGCGACGACGTTGCCGTTCTTGTCGTGGATGTTCTCGTCCTTGATCTCGGGGCTCATGCTCTCCAGCATACTCTTGCAGAACTTGGCGTAGATGGAAGCCCAGTGGGCCTCGTCAGTAGCCTTCTCGAAAGTAAGCTGGATGACCTGGCGCAGGGTGCGTCCATCCGATTCGTCCTTGGATTGGGAAACAATCTCCAAGATCTGGCCAGAGATACGATCGAAGTTCTCGGGCGTCATCTTGTTCAAGGCAGCCTTCACCTTACGCTGCACCACATCAGGAGGCATGTGAGTCGAGCCAGCAGGAGTAGGACCAGCAGTGGTAGTCTGACCGAGACTGCGGGGCTTCCATCCGGTGGTGGAGACCTGGAGGGCCTCGACCTCCTTGCCAGCGGTGAGAGGCATGGACTTGGCCATGTCCTCCTCCTTCTTGGCCTGCTGCTTGTCGCGCTTGCTGCTGTTGCGAGTACCGGAGCGGCCAGAGCCGGGACGAGGCGAGGGCATGCCAGGATGCATAGGGCTAGAGTTGGTGCGGCCGATGGCGCCACCAACGCTCAGACCGCGACCAAAGGAGCCGAAGGGGTTGCCAACAGCGGAGGCTTGGCGAGACATAGCAAAGCGCTGCTCGGAAGTAGTGCCTGGAGGCAGGCTGTTGCGGTTGCCGGGCTGGCCGAAGTTACCCATTCCGGGGAAGCCCTGACCGATGCCGGGGCGAGAGCTCTGGCGGCCGCTGGCCATCGGGGTGCGGGCCGACTGGGGACGGGACGAGTCACTGTCACCGACGGTCTCACGCACGCGCAAGTCCCAATCAATCGAGGGCTTCTCCTTGAACACATTCTGGAACTGAAGCAAGAACTCCTTGTTGTAGTGGAACTTGCGATCGGTAGGAGCGTTGGCATTCAGGGCAGGGTTGGGAGAAGCAATGGACTCGGGGTAAGTGATCTTGCTGAGATCCTCGATCAGGCGAGCCGAGTGCAGAGACTTCATGGCAGCGCTGGGCTGAGGAGGCTCAACCGCCTTGCTGGTCTCCAGCTTGAGAGCAGCAGGCTTCTGCTTGAGAGCACTGGCGGGCTTGGCAGGAGGACCCATATCAGAGGCGGGCGTAGCGGTGCCGCTCTCGGTGCTAGTCTCGGTTGCAGAGAAACCACCCTTCTTCAACGAGGCGAAAAGATCCTTCTTCTTTTGATCCTCGTCGGTGACAGCGCCGGCTTCACGCTTCTTAGCCTTGGCTTCCTCAAGAGCCTCGGCCTCACGCTCAGCCTGCTTCATGTTGGCTTCCCACGTCTCGCGCTCCTCCTTCTCCTTGCGCTCCTTCGCCTCCTTCTCGGCTTGCTTCTTGGCGTAGTAGGCAGCCTCGGCCTCGCGCTCCTTGGCCTCGATTTCGGCCATCTCGCGCTCAATGGCATCGTAATCGATGTCATCGTCATCAGCAGGAGCGGGCGCGGGAGCAGGAGCGGACTCAGCAGGCTTAGCGGGCTCTTCCGCCTTGGTCTCCTCTGGCTTATCCTTCAAGCTCAGCTCCTCAATCTTCTTGCGGGCGGCCTCCTCATCAGCAGCCTTCTTGGCAGCCTCTTCCTCCTCCTGCTGCTGCTTACGGGCGGCCTCTTCTTCCTCCTTTTGGCGAGCGGCCTCCTCCTCGTCCTTCTTGCGCTGGGCAGCGGCGGCCTCCTCTTCGGCCTTGCGGCGCTGCTCAGCCTCTTCCTGTTCGATCTTCTGGCGGACAGCGTCCTTCAACTCCTTCTTCTTCTCCTCGTCGGTCTTGGTAGACTTGGACTCGGTGCGAGTGTGGTCGGCGCTGCTGCCGGTGCGAGGGGGAGGAGTCGAAGTGGGAGTCGCAATCTTAACAGGGGACGGGGCGATACGAGCCGGGGAGGCAGGAGCCTTTTCAAACGTCTTTACGACGCCGCTACCGGGGTCCTTGATGATGATCGGGCTCTTCTTGGCAGGGATGACGAACGGCGTCTTCGCAGGAGCGGGGCTGTTCGACGTACGGCTTCCGGTGTGAGCATGGCCAGGGCCGGGAGGACCAGCAGGGGGCTGGCCCTGGCCAAGGCTAGACCCAGGGCGGTCATTAGACATCTGCGAGGGCGTACGAGAGAGGGAGGTGGCTTGGGCGGGAGGCTGAACAGGGTACTGGTTCTGCATGTACGGGGCCTGGGGGTTGAACGGCATTCCGGGGCGTGGTTGCGGGGACGGGGGAGTCATATACTGGACACCACCCATGTAGCCTTGGGGGTAGTAGCCGTAAGCAGCGGGGTCGTAGCCGGGGTAGGCCTGGTTGGTTTTCATCAACGTTAGATATTGCTCAAAATTCCCGCTTTCTGGCGCTAGATTGATGGGTGGGATTGGTGGAAGGGGGGCTTTAGCAGTTGCAGCGTAGATGGGTGAAAGTGATGGTCGGCGATATGATCCTTTTCTTCGGGTTCCATATCCACGTCGGAGGGGTTTATTATGGGGAGGTCTCACAGTTTGGGGTCCCATCGGTTGTCCATAACCGTACGCCTGCGGGGGCATCTGCGCGTGTGCCATGGGAACCTGGTTCATTTGGGGAGTCGCAGGATGCGCGTTTGCAAGGGCGGGGCTGCGGCTCGCTTGATGAGGAGAGTTGGGGAAAGGTGCGAGCGGGCGACCTTGGTTAGGGGCGTGGAACTGAGGGCCCATGTTGGGAGCGCCGCGGGCCTGGTTGGGAGTGGTGCGGAAGTTGGGACCTGGGGAGTAAGGAACTTGACCCTGATAGCTCGACTGAGAATAACCACGGCCGCGACCGCCCTGATGGGGGTAACCGCCACGGCCGGGAACACTACCCATGTGACTGCTCATATCGCTGTGAGTCGATTGGGAAGATTCGCGACGGAGGTGGGTCGACTGAGGACCGGGGCCAAGGGGTGTCTGTGGAGCCGCGCGCATCTGTTGCTAGCGCAAGACAAAGATTAATACCAGCATATCTCAGGTGTGGGTAAATCGAGGTATGCCAAGACAGGAAACGTGCGCGCCCTTGCAAAAATTTTTGCTCCCCATCCATCTCCCTCTATATCGCCCTACAGTATTTTGCCGCCTCCTTCGTGGCTTTGCCAGATGGAGATTTGGACACCCAAGGGAGTCTTCGTAGACAATGTAGGGCAAAATCATATAGTGCGATCTGGGCAAACTGTACAAAGAATAGAAGGGGTCCACTTACGTTATCGCCAGCATCGCCAAAGCTGCCAAAGTTGGGAACGTTACCCTGCGCCTGGTAGGTCGACGGCGGTGGCCGGCCACCGCTGGAAGCGGGTTGAGGAATAGGGGATGGCGAAGTCTGGGGGGAAGTCACACGGGGGTTCGCGGGCGGAGTGACACCAAGACCGGCCTGAGGCTGAGTAGCCAAAGACGCGGGATTGCCCATGCTAGGCGAGGACTGCTGGTTGGCGAAGCCGAACTGCAGACTGTTGGGACGACCGGTCTGGCCGCCGTTGGGAATATATCCGGAGGTGCCAGCAGAGGTGATGGTCACCGAAGGCTTGCGGGAGTGATCGCTTTGAGAAGCCGGGGCGCCATTGACGATGGTGACGCCGGGGGTTTGGGATTGCTGCATGGGTTTGCCGCTCACAGGAGATGCTGAGGTCGACTTCCCATGTTGCGACGAGCCGCCCACGGTGACGGGAGCGGCGGTCGAGTCCGTCGCGGACTTCTTGGTGGCGCTGGCGTAGGAACGAGGCGCCGTCGACGGCGAGGCAGATTGTGCGGGCGAGGAGGCGGCCTGGGTCGAGGTGCTCTGTCCTTGAGGTTGGAGGCCTGACTTGGGAGGGATCGAGCTCATTAGACAGGTAATGCGAGGTAAAAAGGATTCAAGCGCTTTTTAGTTTTAGGTTGACGATTGACTTGACGTCGTTCGAGAAGCAAGTCCGTTCGGGAGGAGAAGAGGGACCTGCAACAGTAGAGAGGAGAGGATGAGAAATCTTCAATAAGAAAAATTGAAGAGAGGGGAAAGATGGAAGAGGGAAGTGTCAAAGGGCGTGTTACAACAAACAAGGTACACGCTCTAGAACCACAACATCCACAAAAAAAAAGTCCTCACACAAAATGGGGGAGGAGGAGGGGGGGAGGAGGAGGTGGGTGGTGAGAGAAGGGTAGTGGAAGAGGGGAGGGGAGGGGAGTGGTGTTTTTTTCGTGTCAGGGAAGGACGACGAAAAGAGGAAGGGGAAGGAAGAGAGAAAAAAAACGAAGACCACGGAACAAGGAAATTAATCACGTCGTGGTCAACGACGATAAGTCTGGGGTAGAAGAAAAGGGGATAGAAAAAAGAGAAAGATGACTTGAAGGAGAGATAGAAATATTATCAACCTTTTTTGACCCTATTGTTCTTTACTGCACAACTCTCTTACACTCTCGATCTTTTTTTTTTTTTATTTTCGCCTTTTTGGCGTGGATAAAATTGGGTGGTGGTGGTGGATGATTTTTTTTCTGCACAGTGGTTTTCACAATTTTTGCTGGGCTGAGGCTGGGCTGGGTTGTGGTTGGTATCAGGCGTGACCATACCGTATTGTTCTTTGTATCCGACCGAACCACACTAAACATTGTTCCCGGCTTTAAAAGCTGCTCTTCTCCGTTCTATCGCCATCACACATGCACATACACACACATTCACAACAGAAAATATTCAAATTGATCGATTAGACCCATTCAGACTCAACAGATCAGTTCCAAGGCTTGTGGCAGGTCGTTCTGCCCCATCTGGCGTTAGGGAAGATTTCCCGGTGACTCTTTTTCCCAGCAAATGAGACTGCGCACAGCTAGCTTTTCTTGACATCTCCAGTCATTGACCACCGCGGAAGATCCGCCATTGTCGGGTGGAAGCGGCAAACACACCGAGCCAAGGTGGCTGTTGAGAACTAACCTTGAACTAGTAGGAAAGGTAGCTGGGCCAGTGTTGTTATTGGTGGTTTTGAATCGTCGATTTTCAGACCAGACAGCGCGCTGCCTTGCTCCATTCCATTCAAAGTCGCTATCATCCTAGCGGCCTGGCCATACTGTGTAGAGTCAGTCAGTGTATCTACTAGGTACTAAGTCACTATCCTGGGAGCTGACCATTCAGATCTCCGAGCATCCAGCAACATCATCATTATCACTGTCTGCTTATATAGCAATGAGTCATGTCAGGCGTTTAGCCTGTCCAGTGGCCTCGTTCCGTGCGGCAACTGCTTTGCCTGTTTGGTAACATCATCCCACAAATCGGTTTTTGGCCTCCTGGCGCATGACGTTTGGGCGACCATGAAATCATCGTCATGAGGATGGACACCTGAGGCCAAGATACGTTATGATTGATTACACCCGCTCGTTTGCCACACATTACCGCTTCCAAACCAGCACCTTCACATGATGATACCGTATCAAACCAACCTCATCATTCATCCTCTTCGCCTTCCTTTGACCTGGTGGTTGTGTGTAGGGTGCTTGTCTGCTTCTTGTTGTGTTACCTGAATTTTGGCGCCGGAAATCCACTCGTTGTTCATGCTATGGTTCTCATGCCTTGGCTTGATCTCTTTTCTGCTGAAAAGAAGACTTCGATGACTACTACCCCTACAATAATCCCACACACACACATACACACACACACACACACACACACACACACAAAAAGCAAGAACCCGAACCCTACCGAGTACTGCAGGGCAGCGGCCAGCAACAAGAAGAAAGAGAGAGAGGTCCGATCATCCAAACCAATAATGCAACTCCGATCGCCCGGTCAACAAACCACCACCACGTTAAAAACGATCCGAGCATTCCAGGGCGCCGCCGCAGTAGATAGAAAGATCGAAGACACATCCACATCCACACACACACACATCCCTCGCTCTGTATCCCATCAACAATATTTCTTCCCATCTCTGCCACACCGTAGACAAAACCACAGACCGACTCCGACTCCTAGACTCCCAAGTCAGGTTCTTATCCATCGTTGATGATTCTCCCCAATTGACACCGCAAATTTATTTATAGTCCCAATAATCCCGAGCAGCTGATTCGACCCTCGCTAGATGGACGATCACCAACCACCGGCCCCAGAAAATAATGCATTTGCATCTGTTTGATCTGATCGGCCACGTCTGAACCTGACATCGGCCAGCCGACGCGACGCCTTGGTTGGGCCGACACTACCGTAGACTATTTGTTCGTGGATTTTGCTTCCTTACTTAGGGGGGAGGCTGTTCTGCATGCCGTGCAGACCACGGACCACAAAACACCCGAAGCCCTTGAAGATATCGCCCAAATGGGTGGGCGCCGCTGGAGCACCTGTAGTAACTCCGCACTGTCTGGGACAATTCTCATACTCCTTCAGGTCTCTATTCAAGCGATACCTTTACAGTATTGTTGAGATGTGGCGATTTAGGTTCCCAACTTCGATTACGTTCGCCTCTTCAACAATGCCAATATATATATACTGTGCATAGTAAACCGAGCTTCCAGAAAACCCAACGTAACATTCTTCGCACTGCAGCCCACCTTCAGCCCCAACCACGCATTCTTTCTGCCTTGGTTCGCACTGTCCCATTCTTCCGAATGAATCAGGAAAGAAAAATCCGACCAAAATAAAATAAGATAGCTGAGATAAATCAGCACAGTAAAATTGACTTCCGCCCACTGATCTCTTCTCACAGGTATAACCAGCACAAAAGCACTTCTCCTAGAAATTCGTCGTGAATGCGCCCTCCAGCTCCCGGGGCCATCGCATCCTTGACTACTCTTACCTCAGAGCAGTTTTGCATGGATAAATAAATGAATCATCCTGCGGCTATGCACCCGTTGGGGGAGGCAGTAACTAGTCACAGGATAAGCTTTCCCATCCTTCCATTATACATGCCATTATCATGCCTATGCCTATATGACACTAAGAAAAGGGGCCGAGCATGGTTGTCGGTTGGCATCAGACATGAATACGCAGTGACACGAAGGATGGCAAGGAGCAACTAGGCCTGGGCGAACCCGCTGACCCCCTCGCCTACGGCAGTAAGGCTGCATTTCCCGGGGCACCTGACAAGGACAAAGCACCATTAGTTCCCGTGACATGGTCGTCGCATCTTATCCTCTGTTTCCGACGACAGTCACCCTACGCCTGGACGGGAAGCTCTATCGATAAGTATAACTGAATTCCATTCTATTTGTTGGAATATCCCCGAGCCGTTGCAGAAAGGAAAAGAGCACGGCATAACACCCCAAAACAAAGAAAAAAGATATCAAGGAAGAACAAGGACCACCCGCTGGATCCTATCTTCTAATGATGGCGGTTGCGCGTATCAGTCGATTCGCCGTTGAACCACCCCGAAGACCAGGTACCGCTGGCCGTCCGGCCGGACAGATCCGGAGAGCTCCTGTGGAGGTCCTCGTGCTCCACGTGGTGGAACGAGTTCTCGCTCGGGTTCTTATGCAACGGGGCACCGCCGTACGCGAGGTCGTCCGTATCCGTCTCGCTGCCGTGCAGCTCACGCTCCTCCTTCGCCAGGGCGCTGCGCAGCACCTCCAGCAGGTCGCGTTGGTGGGAAATGTACTGCGCCTTGTCGGCGCGGGACATGGAGGCGATATCACGGGGCAGCAGATTGCCGCTGGCAGACAGTTCCTCGCCACGGGCTTCGGGGGTCTTGCCGGCCGAGGTCACGGCTGCCACGGCAGAACTGATGGTGGAGAACCAATCTTGAGCGCCGGCGGCAGCGGGGGCGGACGGGGCCGCTGGCCCTCCAGATGCAGGAGCGATGGGGATGTTGAATCGCGAGAGAAGCGACTGCGCGTAGGCAGCAGGACCGGTTGGGGGCGGGGGAGGAGGAGCCGCCGGACGCTGAGCCGGCCAGCCGAGGATGTTCTCCCGGACGTAATCCACGGCCTGGTAGAAATAATGCAGCCCCAGAGCCTTGGCGCGCTCGTGGCTACGCCCAATAAATTCCTCAATCTCTCGCTCATGGTGGGCAAGGAAAGGATCGACATGTTCCTGGTACAGGATAATTGCGCCCTGGGTCTGGGGGAGGACAAGGTAGGAGAAGAAAAAGAGGCGGATCCAGCTGTAAAACGGCACCCTGCATCATTTCCATCAGCGTGAGGCCCAAAATAGTTATAACTTCCAGCTACGAACCATCCGAGGATGAACACTGTCCAGGACTCAGCCATCAGCACAGCGGACAAAACCACCCAGTACATCAGCCATGGTGCCAGTTGAGAGGGGTCGGAAGAGCGCAGAGCTTTATACGAGGCAAATATAGGGAAGAGGATCGTGATGACCGATCTGTTTTCATGTGAGCGTTAGCGTCTGGTCTACCTTCATCTGGGGAGAGGGGGATCTCCAAAACTGCGGAGTGAGGGGAGGAGCGGTGGGGGGATGGCGAGGACTTACGATAACAAATCTGCAATGATACCGAACATGATGGGCTGGCGCACTTGCAAAGTCTGACCACTCTGATGATTGATTTTCCCGGTGGTAGAATTGAAGCGGTTACTCTCAGGGGTGAGGGGATCGATTTATCGGTAAGCTGAGCAGCAGTCGGATTGCGGGGCGGGGAAGCTTCACGCGACCTCCGGGTGAGCAGCACAAAGGAGAGCGGCCGGCCGCAGCAAAGAAAGGGAAGAATGAAAGGGCTCTAAGACCTAAGACTTGCCGGAGAATGGTGGAAAGAGGAAGAGATAAAAAGTGTCAAAAAAAATCTTTGCACGAGAGGGCAACCCAGACGAAGCGTGGCTGCCTTGAGCAACTGGGGCCGGATCAGTAGGTAGTACGACCCATCGAGCCCTATTCTGGAGTCGGAGTCTTAATAATAGAAGACATCATCCACCTCAGGCATTCGTGCCGTCACGGGCGGGGCCAGGTTTTGGCCTTATAGCCTTGGGGCCTTGCTGCCTCATCGCCCTTCCGCTTTCCGCTCCCTGAGGGTTCAATCCGGCTGACGTCATGACGGTATTCATGCTGTGATGATCACAATTCGACAGGTTGATGAGCATGGAAAGCTACAAAATTTCTCTCTTCCCATGTCTTAGTGAGAGCGAGAAATCCAGGAGACAGGTGCAAGGGCGACAACAATGACCAGGGACCATGGGGTATTGTACTGCATTGGCGGTATGTGATTCGTCCTAATTGTGGATCGCAGGACAACGTTATCGAGCATTACCTACCTAGTAGGCTTGATAGGGTGCATCCCCGTTGGCTCCTAGGTCAGAGATCAGGGTGTTTGGATCAGTTACACAACCATTGTCATTGAATGACGGTGCATAAGTGTTTTCTCCCGATCGAAGCAGTTAATGTCCGAGAATTTAAGTTCGCATCCAGCTATAAATTGACCCTTATCGATAGATAGATATGGCAGCATGCGGGAGCCAGCGAAGTCGGGCGGTGGAGCCAAATTGCCGGTCGTGTTTGTTGTCGGATGACCTCAAGTGCCCAACAGTCGCCTCATTTTCCTCACTCACCGACCACTCGATCAGTCTTTCGATTCTCTTGCGATATTAAGAGCTTGCTTCTATACTTGAATCAACCAGCGGAGTCAGCCCACACCGGTAGCCATCCCCAATTCAACTGCGTGACTGTTCCACAAGCTCCAACCTTCCCCTCATACAAGTGGTGGCCAAGCTCTGGCCTGACATCCGTGGTCGAGCTCCCCGCAAGTGAATCGCTTTCCTGCTCCTGCTTCTTTTCCGACCATCAAATTTTGCAACAATGTGTATCGCACTGTTATCAACTGCCCATCCATCTTATTCATTGATCATAATCGACAATAGGGATGTACGAAGCATTCCCACCCCAGATGCATTCGGAGCTTTAGGACTGGCTCAGGACTGACGACGGCTAGGAATACCTTCGACGACCAACATCCCCCGCCGACTGGTGGCCAGAACCAACAGCCGACATCTTAGGTGGCCGAGATCTAGCCCGAGCGACACATGGGACGTGGATGGGAATCACTAAAGATGGAAAAGTAGCTGTGTTGACCAACTACCGCGAGGACACTTCCGAACAAGCTACTGGAGCGCGAAGTCGAGGTCTCATCGTTAACAGCTGGCTGACATCGGCTCCGGACCGACGACAGTCAACCGAGGAGTTTGTGCAGGGAATGGTTGCAAGCCCGTCTGCCAGGAATGTCGGTGGATTCAGTCTTCTGTGCGGTTACGTCAATGAACCCCTGGCCATTGTCTCCAATCGCTCGTCTACCATGGATCATATCGCCTGGGTTGCAACAGAGAAAGGTCAGACACTCGGCCTCAGCAATACAGTTTTTGACGACCGATCTTGGCCCAAAATCCTTGAGGGCGAGAGACTGATGAAGGAAGCCATTGCTGAGCACGCGCAGGCGGGGGAGGACGAGGATGCACTCGTCAACAGATTGCTCGATATGCTGAGTATCAATACGCTACCTAAGCTTGCCGAGGATGCCACCGCGGAAGACTACCTCCCGTACTTCAGGCAAAGCATATTTATCCCAGTATTGGGAGCTCGCGAGAAGTCTGTTAAACGCAAAGACGAGGTGCCTGCAGTCTGCGTTGAGAGCAAAACGGCGGAGGATGCTTCTTCCGGGCAACATGATGCTCTAGACCACTCCTTCCTGCAGGGGGCATATGGGACACAGCAGCAAACTGTAGTCTTGGTGAGTACAGACGGACGAGTGCGCTATTTTGAGCGTACGCTTTATGACAATGATGCCACTGCCATCCCGGTCGGTCAAGGTGATCGATCGTTTGAATTCCATGTCGGCCAACGATGAGAAAAGGGGACTGCGGACTGGGGTCTTCGGTAAATTGCAATGCACTTGCCTGCACATGGGTCTTTGCTCCGACTCTCAATGGGTGTGGCTTTGTAAATAGTATAATGGTTTAATATCGAGAATGCCAAAATAGCAACTGATTGCAAGCTACTGGATAAGCGAAGTGGGCATGAACTAGGCACCAGCTGGCAGTCTATTCGAGAAATCACTCAGTGCGACTAGAAGCGCCACCCGAGTATCCGAGTGAACGCATGATGAACATTTGGCTGATGTACAGTACAGTAGTTAGTTACAGTAGATTGCGGTGAGATGGAGGCGAGTCTCCCACTCTGGTGTAATTTCGGCACGTGCCTGTCAGGAGAGACAAACAAGCAACAAACGTTCCCTGCCAGAATTTCCCCCCCGTAATCCGTCGCTCCGTCGCTCCGTCCCCTCTCAAATCTCCACAACCACAAACAAATCCGAACCACTTAAAACAAAATTACGTGCCATCGTCATTCATCCTCGCCCCGTCTCATCTTCGATTGAGAGAGAAATAATCTTCCTACTCAATGATTGATTATTGATCATCCTGGTGAAGACGTCCACCAATATGACAGGTCGGTCGTCTGGAAATGAGCACTGCGAAGCCTGGAAGTCGGTGGACGGTTACGGTGGGTCGCAAAGGGTGAATGTCTCAGGTGAAATAATATCGGACCGGTCCATTAATTAATTGGGAAGAACAGCCGGGCGAGTCGGGGAAAAGCAAGACGACCAAATCTTGCTCTAAGCTGAAGTGAATGAAATCAACCGCCCTCTTCACAGCCAACACCTCGCCGTTTGTGTGCGTCCTCGGCCCGGAATTATTTAATTAATCGAATCACATCGCCGAGCGCTCCACCAACGAACGGCAGGCTTGGGACGCGATGCTGTTTCATCTAGATCAGATTCCCTAGCAATTGCATGGTGTGGCCCCACGCCGCCAAACGGCAATTTGACCTGGAGAAATGAAGGACGACGGCTTGGGGCCAGTGCACGCCTCCGAAAAGGGTGATCATGATGGGGACACTTGTTTTTCCCTATTGTGCTAAGCCTTGAGCTGCGACAACGGTGCTGGCCACCATCCCCACTGAACTCGAACGTTCCATGAAGGAGAATTGAGGGGATGTCGCAACAATGCCGGAGTTGATGTCTGGGATGCGGGATTATTTTTTGTTTCCAGCTGGGATCTCTTTTCTTTTCGAGGCGCGAAAGTCGTGGTCAGAGTCGCTGGCGAAGCGCCCAGATATCACATGTAAGTGATATTAAGGGTCCTTGCTAGCTTCGGCGTCGGCCTGGAGCCTGCTCATATCGGGGCAGATGGATTTGGGGCGAAAGGTTCTCGACTTTAACATATCCACCCGGGTGCATGGGTCCCGATTCCTTCAGTGGCGGTCTCAGGGGGATGCGCCCAATTCTGCCTCCGAGATTAAGCAGTGGAACCGTTGAATTGCCAGGGAATCTTCCGACTAGCTTGTGTGCCTGGACGATCGAGTGGTATAAGAAGGAGAGCCCCCGGCCGTTCATCTTTGCTGCTTGGCACATCACAATCAAGACTGGCTCTTGACGTTCCTTCTTTACTCTCGCATTCATTCATTCTTTTTCATCAGTCTCTCTTTTAATCGACCAGATCGATATACATTCTTTTCAAAATGAGAATCAGCAACTTGGTTATTGCGGCCTCTGCTGCCGGCATGGTCAACGCTCTCCCTAAGCGTGAGATGAAGAAGCGTGCTTCCTCTGGTTTCACCTGTAGGTCATGCCTTATGGGGATGGAGAATAGCAATGCTGACCGATGCAGTCTTCGGTGTTAGCGAGTCTGGTGCTGAGTTTGGTTCCGGCGTTGGTACTCTGGGAACCACCTACACCTGGCCTACGACCAGCCAGATCCAGATCCTGAGAGATGCGGGCATGAACATGTTCCGTATTCCCTTCCTGATGGAGCGTCTTACTCCCGACAGCATCACCGGCTCTTTTGCTTCTGCCTACCTTAGCGACCTCAAATCGGTATGAGCCACATGACCATATCCATCGAATCGTTCTGACAAGAACAGACCGTCCAATTCGTCACTGACAGCGGAGCTTACGCCGTCCTCGATCCCCACAACTATGGAAGATAGTAAGCAAGCCGGCATTCTGTGCTATACGTGGCTAATAGTCTACTAGCAACGGAAACATCATCACTTCCACCTCTGATTTCCAGACCTGGTGGAAGAACGTTGCCGCTGAGTTCGCTGACAACGACAAGGTCATCTTTGATACCAGTGAGTTGCATAGTGCCTGCTGATGAAGCATGAGACTAATCGATCAGACAACGAGTACCATGATATGGAGCAGTCCTTGGTCCTGAGCCTCAACCAGGCCGCCATTGACGGTATCCGTGCCGCCGGCGCCACGACTCAGTACATCTTTGTTGAGGGTAACAGCTACTCTGGTGCCTGGACCTGGACCGAGAACAACGATAACCTCTCCGGCCTGACCGATACCGAGGACAAGATCATCTACGAGATGCACCAGTACCTCGACTCCGATGCCTCTGGTACCTCGGAGACTTGCGTCAGCTCCACCATCGGTAAGGAGCGTCTCGAGAGTGCCACCGAGTGGCTTCAGACCAACAACAAGAAGGGTGTTATCGGAGAATTCGCCGGTGGTGTCAACTCCGTCTGTGAGGAGGCTGTTGAGGGCATGCTTTCCTACATGTCCGAGAACAGCGATGTCTGGGTCGGTGCCTCTTGGTGGTCTGCCGGTCCCTGGTGGGGATCCTACATGTACAGCCTGCAGCCCTCCGATGGCCCGGCTTACTCGACTTACCTTCCCATCCTGGAGAAGTACTTCCCTGATGGTGACTCTACCACCTCTGCTTCCAGCTCCGCTGCTACCTCTGTCGCTGCCGCCACCTCCGCAGCCACCTCCGCGGCCACCTCCGCTGTCTCTGCTGTTCAGCAGACCACCACCGCTGCTCCCCACCCTCAGGTCTCGACCACTTCCGCCATCTCCGTCGCTGCCGCCGCTCCCAGCAGCAGCTCTTCCGCTACCACCTTTGCCACCTCCACCAAGTCTAAGTCCCCCTGCAAGCTGCACAGCACCAGCAGCGCTGCTTCCGCGGCTGCCACCAGTGCTGTTGTTGCCACCCAGCCCACTACCTCCGCTGTTGTTGCTACCCAGCCCACCACAAGTGCCGTTGCTGCCAGCCAGCCTACCACCACCGCTGTTGCTGTTGCCGCCACCACCCCTGCCGTCATTCCTAGCCCCATCACCTCCAGTGTGGCTGCTGCCAGCGGCAGCGCTGGTGTCAGCGATCCCCAGGGTGCCCTGGCTACCAACGCTGCTGGCCAGGTCAATGAGTTCTACCAGTGCGGTGGACTTAACTGGACCGGACCCACTGAGTGCGCCAGCCCCTACACCTGCGTGAAGCAGAACGACTACTACTACCAGTGTGTCGCCTCCTCCAACTGAATAGCGATCGTGCGGTAGCTCCGGAATGGTCGATTATCTGAAACGCTAGCAAGAGCCGAGGGGATGGGAGGAGATCAGCTTGATTCTTATTCTTGTATATATCTAAGAAAAATTTATTAGGGATATCCCCATTCAATATAGATTGGCTTGCCCAGCATATTTGTCCCACCGGTGTGCATATAAATTAGACTATTGAAATGTCCGCACAATGTTCCAGGTTCTGTATAGCTGCCAGTTCATGTCCCACCGGAACCCCCGTCCGAGGCCGTTGATGGCAACCGCCACCTGGGCTCCTCCGGGCGGTGTCTGCTTCGGAAGACGCCTCCGAGAAAACCATCCTTGCTTCAGCGACTCACTTTCCCACCAATTTGATGCATTCATCGCGGGTTACGATCGAGAATGCCACCTTTCCGACGAAAGTCACGATTGGACAAGGTGTCAAATGCGTATAATCTCATCAATCAGCTTCTCCGCGTGGACAATATCTGCTGACTCAGGCTAGCTGCGAAGAATGTAAAAAACGGAAGACCAAATGCTCCGGCCGGTTCCCTTGTCAATCTTGTGTCGCACGTCATGTTGATTGCACATTCAAAAGACCCGAGAGGAAGGTTTTAGTATCAGAAAGGTACCCTTATCTCTTTGGCGACTCATGAGACGACACTGACCGCGCTTTTAGTTATTTGCGTGCGCTCGAGGACAACTGTGCCCTGCGCCGCCCCCAGTCAGCGCCACCGACCAAGGAGTTGTCCGAAGAAAGAGTGTCCCGGAGTAGCCCTCCGTTACCTTTTGTCGCAGATGGTAATCGTAGAGATGTCATACATTGCACCAGGGCACACCCATTGATTGATCTTAGACGCGTCCCCACTTCCCCAGACCAGCACCGCCGAGGCACTCATCACCAACCCTCTTGTCTCTGCCACATCCTTCTACCTGAAGGATACGACCGGACGATATAGTAAGCTCCAGGTTTGAGATGGCTTCCAAGGACTTAGCTGAATCTTCATGATATTGTGGGCCGTCCTCCTCCTGGTCCTTTTCCCAGCGCGTCTTCCTGCTCCTCAAATCCGCGGTTCCCGACTACCTGTGCCCAGATCTTCCTTTTCACATCGATGGCTGTACCTGGGAACTTAGCTGGTCCCGGACTGATTTTGAAGATGCTTCTGTTGTGGAGGGGCTGCCGTCGCTGGATGACTTTCTCTATTTGCTCAACACCGTCAAGTTCCATTCCTCTCGGATGCTATATCTCGTCGACGAAGACGAGTTCATACCTCATCTCCACGAGTTCTACGATCGAGGGCTCGAGAAGGCCAAAACTCAGCCCCTATGGTTCATTCAATACCTCCTGATCATCGCTCTCGCCAAGGCTTTCTTGACCACACCCAGGAATCCCAAATTACCGCCAGGATCAGCTTTCTTCACAAGGGCTATGTCTCTAGTACCGGATTTTATAGGCCTGAATCGTCAGCCAAATCGTGGCATGCAGATTCTGTACCTGATAGGTCTGTATCTGGTGTCGGTGGACATGAAAGATGCTGCTTATGTTTATGTGGGAGACCTTGATGAAGGTATTGACCAATGGCTGACCGCAATCGCAGGTCGGCCAGGCGATCCGGATGTGTATCATGGAGGGGATATACCGGGAGCCACCAGACGGACTTTTTGGGACTGGTATCGCGCATCAGTGCCGTAACATCTGGTGGTCCGCATATATTCTTGACCGGCAGCTATCATCGATGATAGGCGGTCCAGTATCGATCCAAGATGCGGAAATCACTTGTGCGCTCCCCGTCGCTTACGATCAGTCGGAGGATGCTCTGTTCTTCACCATGCATGTCAAGCTTTCCCGCACGATCGGCCGCGTGTTGAATTGTGAGTCCAGCATTCGAGGTGTGCGGCTCTATCTAATATGGTGCTCCTAGCCGTATACACCACCGATTTTCGATTGCGACAGTCATTCATCTCCACGATTCAGTCTGTGCTGCGCGAGATGGCCGATATTCTGCGGGAGACGGAGGAGATGGCCGCCAAAGTCTCGCATCATTCCCTGCGTACAGTATCGACTATGACGAGCCATCTGACAGTAAAATACCACCAAGTAGGTCAAGTTTGACTGATACATCACAGGTGGACTGACGGTTGTTACAGTGTATTATTCTGGCCACGCGTCCGCTGTTCCTTCACTTTCTCATCAACCGGCTCCAACCACAGGATCAGCGCGGCAAGACAGTGATCCCCGTCCAGCTGAGACCGCTTCTCGAAACCTCTCTGCAGTCGGCCAAGATCTCATTGAGGACTTTGTCTGTATTGTACGAGCAGTCACTTCTCGGTACGTCTGCCATTTTCTTTTCTTTTTTTCTGTAGGCTGTAAGAAACTCAAAGAAAGCATAGAATCGTTCCTTCCTTTCGATCTGGAAGGGATCTTCTCTTCCGCATTCATCCTCACCATCGCCCACTTCATCGACCCTGCTCTGGTGCCGGATTTGGCCAACTACGTGCTCACCGCTTCGCGCATGCTGTCCGACATCGTTGCCAAGGGCAACATGACCGCCGCGCTGCGGCAGAAGGAACTGGATTTGCTACAGAGGATGACCGGACATGTCGTTAGCGGGGAGAGTAGTGATCATGATGATGGAAGGGAAAGTGTCTCCCGCATGGTGAGTCTTCCTGAGCAGACGGATCCCGCGGCGGAGTCGGAGTTTATGATGGCGGATGAGGAGATTACCATGAGCCCTACACAGATATTGAGTCTGGCGGAGCATTTGGACTTGCTGAACGAGAGTGCGTGGGATATTGGATTCGGACTCGAGGGGCAGGGTTTGATGTGAGGGTGTGTCATTGGGGTGAAGTTAGAATGGTGGAGATTCGTCTGATCTGCCTCGTGCCCGAGGTCTCACGGGCTCTCGCATCTACTGTTGAGGGCTGGTTCGCTTTGACTATCATCACCAGTCACTGCTTCAGCACTAGGGCTCCAATGACAGGCGCCTAGGCGGCCTGTCAGACACATCGGCCAATAAATGCCTCAGGCACCCGTGGCACTATCTATGTTGTACATAGCGCGGAGCGAAGGCCCCGCGAGCCGGCCTCCTTTATCTTCTCGCCATGAATGGAACTCTTGGTTGACAAGCAGTAGTTCATCTACCTGCCGTATCCTCACATCCCATCCTCTAATAATGCCCTCTATGTTTCGTGTTGCATGGAATAGGTGAAGCCCTCACATGCCGATCGAAGTGGAGTCTGCATGCAACGGTGTCGATTGGCTCCACTGCCTCTCACCATCGGTATGTATAAATGCACTCGTCAATCTCAATCCCATAAGAACGGAAGACAAGATCAAGAAGAAAGAGCAGGGGCAAACCCTACAATCAGCATTCAGCGCATGATACCAGAAAATCGAAAGGTGCTTGTTTGAGCACCCAGCCGCCAGGTTCATCGCCAACTTGTCCATCATCCTACGAGCAGAATATTGTAACCAAAGGAATGTATCATATTAGATTAGGATTAGAAACCAAGAGTATGTATATCTATAATGTCCCCGGAGGCAGGCATGTTCATCGGCTCCTCCAGCAGTCCACGGTCCTCAGCGAGGAAACCACCCCCCCCCACTCTCTCTCTAACCGGCCTGGGTGTAGACGGTGGTGTTGGTGACGGCCTCGGCGGGCAGCCACTGGCCGGCGACGGTATGGTTGTAGGCGAGCTGGGCGAGGGTGAAGGTGTGGAGCTCGGAGACGAGGACGGTGCGGTCGAGGGGCAGGACGCGGTGGACCATGGCGTTCTGGGTGAGCATGGAGACGTACTCCTCGTCGGCGACGGCGGTGAGGTTGGCGTCGAAGGTGACGCGGATCAGGGCGTCGGGGGAGTTGCTGCTCAGCAGGGAGGTGGACAGCAGCCAGAGGGCGGGGCCGCCGGCGGGGGTGGAGGCGTCGGCGAGGTGCAGGAGGCCCGCGTTGGCGCCGAGCAAGGGGTGGCGCAGCCGGAAGAAGGCCATCTCGCCGTCGGCGCCGATGTGGCCGAAGGTGCCCGTGCCGCCGGTGGCGTTGCCGGCCAGCGTGAACCAGACGCCGCCGCGCAGGGGCCCCGCGGCGGGGACGGAGATCATGCCGACGGCGTTGTTGCCCACGCTCGGCGGGATGGGCAGCTGCGCCGTCTCGCCGCTGGTGGCGTTGATGCGCAGGATGGCCGAGTCGGTGTCCTGGGTCACGTAGATCAGGCCGGTCGTGGGCTCCTCCTTGATGAAGACGGGGCTGTTGAGGCAGGGGTACAGCTTCGGGTCTCGGGTGGGGACGGCGGCCGTCGAGTGGGAGCCCCCGGACCGGGCGATGGTGGTGGTGGCGTTCAGGTGGGAGACGTCCGCCGAGAAGACGTAGTACCGGCCCGTCTGCGGCGAGGCGACCTTCAGCCCGGCCCAGACGCGGTTCCCGATCTCGAAGACGCAGTGCGGCCCGTTGCCGGGGGCGGGGATGTCGATCGTGCGCACCACCACGGGCTTCGCCGCCAGCGTGCGGCCGGGGTCCACGAGCAGCAGCTTGTTCTCCGCCTGCAGCGTCAGCCACATCAGCCCCGGGTACAGCGTCGACGGCCACACCCCGTGCAGCTGAGAGCTGCGGTTGCGCCCCATGGGGAACGTCTGCCACGCGATCGGCTCCTCCGTGGTGGGGTCGAGCTCGATCTTGACCAGCTCGCTGTCCGACATCTGCGATAGCAGCACGAAGTTCGTGTTCGGCACCCGCGCGAACTCGTGTGTCTCCGTGGCCACCGGCAGCTGGTACTCAGTCAGTCGCCGGCTCACCAGCGTGTTGGCGTTGGCCGACTGCTGCTGCGCCAGCGCCGTGGGGAGGAGGGCGCTCAGCCCCAGCGCGGCGACCACGAGCGGCTTGAGAGCTTGGTGCAGCATTTTTTTCTGCCTTGGTCTTTGAAGCAGCAGTGTCTCTGGCGTTGCAGGACTGGATGGACGCTGTAGCAGCAAGGGGAGGGGGGACTGGCCTCCTATTTGAATTTTTCCTCCGGGATTATTGCCCACTACCCAAGGCAATTAGCGGCCCATGCGAAGGGAACTTCGCCTAGGGCAATCGGATCCCTCTTCACGAAGCTAACCACCCAAAGATGTCAATCGCTTCCTGTTAGACGCACAGTGGCACACAGCTGAACTGCGGAGCGAGAGATCGGCTGGATCCCTGAGTCGAAGATCGCTGATCGCTTGCCCGATCCGTGCTAGACCGGGATCCCATCGCGCGCGATCAACATGTTGGTTGCACTATGGGAGATTGGGAATTGATTAAGGGCTCTAAAAGTTGTTAGAGTGATCTTATTGCTGGATCGGGATAATGCAAAGCTCACCTCTTGGGCCCTGGGCCCTGGGCCCTCTCAGGGGTGGATTGGTTCACTGCAATGGGTTTAGAGTTGGCTTGATGGGAGAGTGGGGGAATACGGGCTGAAGATGACCGTCTATGGTCCGGAAGTACGAATCCGAGATCCTCCGGTGGCATAATCTGCACTTGCACCTCAGTCACCAGTCAGTTTGCATTATAGTCAAAAGCATCAAAACAAAATTCAACAAAAACATACAACAGAAGGGATTCGCTGGTGGTCACCCACCCAACTACTAACCTCCCGGCGTGTGGCTTGAGTACGGCTGAGCGGACGGGAAGCCCTATTTTCCACACCCTGTGGTCGTATGTGCTTGATCTAACGCCTTGCTGTTATATGATGATCAAGAAATATGTTCTCAGCATAGCGATCGACTCGTCAATTTTCGGGCCTATTTTCGGCCAGCGGTGAATTTCCAGCCAAGGAAAAGAGCAGCTGGAAAGACTTAGAGTACATCAATTCAAATCAAGTGAAGGAACGGTTTTTTTCTTTCTTGATTCTTCTTTTCCTCTTTTTTTAAGAGAATTGACATGGGCAAGAAAGGCTCTTAGTGGTCCAACATATGGCACCGAATTCTGTACTTCCAGCGGCCCTAGAATCAGATCTTGTTCCGCCCCGCATATCAAAATGTTCAACCCTGTTATGAGTAATTCTCTTATAGCCACAGTTCCTACTCACCATCCCGATCTCCCGATCATTATCATCTCCGCAGGCCGGCAAACTCGTTTGCCGTCCCTTCATTCATTCATTCATTCATTCAATCATTAGATGGTCTTCAAACTACAAATCGCCACGGTCATCATCCATAATGCCGTGAATGGAGTCGAACGGTCGTTTCGACGGCCCTGAGCAGCACATCCCATAGACGCGGAATTGAGAAACCCACTTTCTTCGTAAACTATTCTTCTATCTATAGTTCGAAGTAGTATTCAGATCTAGAACACAGATAAAAAGAAATAGCGTTAAGGAGATAGAAAATGTGTGTATCTAGTAGTAAGTAATTAGTTGAGGTAGTATGCCTACTAGACTTATCCAGTAGATAAGCTAGTATATATGAAAACAGTATAAAGCTGTCTGTAATAAGAATAGCGGTGCTAGTGTCGACAACAACAGGCGACATGTTGCAGCCCACCACTCCAGTGTTGCCATAGCCCTCCTGCGCCAATGATCACAATGGCGGCAGTCTTTGTTGGCCATGCTGCCGGTGGGACAATGGTCTCACTCCTTTGTCGTGAGCTTTGTAGCTTTACACATATGAGCGATTCTCCTGCGGGAGTTCCCGACTGGTTTCCCTCGCCTCTGGCAGCTGTCTGCCAGACCCACCGGTCGTAGAGGATTGGCGCTTGGGTTCAGTCTACCACGGTGACCTTAAGATTGGAGTGGTAACTCTCTGTGGCAGGTGTACACATATCTGAAACGGACAAGACGATATCTCCTGCCCTCACGAGACCGGAGAGACAGCCCTAGTTGCCGCTTTCCCCGCCCATCCATTGACCCCCCAAAGAAACCCATTAGATTCGGTGCATTCTATGGCTTATACACAAGGTGTCTTGCGAAACTACAACAACGAGAGATTCCTCTGTCAAAGAAAGCCCTTACACGCTGGTGAACAAAAGATCCACTACGACAAAGAGAACTGGTTCAGGGTTCCGTGTATATATAAACTCCCTCGGCCTGCCCTCCCTGCTCGATCCGAGTACAGCCTTCCAGCTTCAAAAGTTGCTTCGCATTGACCATCAATCAGAACATCATGGCAGACTACTGTTACGGCGAGATGTCCGCGCGGGCACGTGTGCAAGTTTTTGATGTAGAAGTGCATAGCACATCCGGTGAGTCAGATGATGACCCGGGGACTGGTATTTATGAGGAAGATGTTCTTTGCACGTCCAGTGAGTCCGAGGATGACTCTGATTTCGATGATCGTGACGAGAGCCCACCCTGCCCACCATTCACGCCGGAATCCCCACGGGATGGCGAGGATCTGGTGGACGATGTGGCGTCTCTCCTGGATGGCAAAGGCATCGGCAATGTGCTCGGTGGAGAGGCCGCGCTTTCGATCATGGGCGTGCCCCTCATCCCTCACTTCACCGCGTTCATCATTCCGGATGGGCAAATCGACCAGGCGGCCCAGGTGCTCCGTGACGCCCAGTACCCCGCCTGCAAGGATCTGGACCAGTTCGCCGCCAACCCCACCAATACCAAATCCCGCATCCGCTGTCATGCGTTGACCGGGGGCGCCACTCGCAGCTGGCCCATCCCGGCCCATCACTTCCACACCGACGATCGCTACCCTGCGGACCGCAAGGACCGCAACCAGACCCGCGGCGTCTTCCTCTATTGCGCGTCGCAGATGCTGGCCCCGGGCTTTCCCATGCCCCCCGCTGGGCCTCCGCCGCCCGAGGACCCCTTTTACATGGCCACTTCCGATGCGCGGCTCTACAGGCCATCGTTGTGGGGCGGCCGGGTGATGCTGAACTGCCGGGGCCGGCGGAATAAGAAGTCCTACCCGGTCAAAATCCTCCACCCGGCGCGGTATATGGAGAATCTGGTCTACCTGATGGTCCGCGACATTGGGTACCTCGTCTGCAACGGGTGGCAAGCCGAGCTGAAATGTATGTTGTCGTTCAGTCCGCTCTTGCCGAGTGCGAACCTAGCGCTGGCCGCGATCGATGTCGAGCTCGAGGACGTACAGGATGGGCCGATCCGGGACTGGCTTGGGCTGCACCAGATATGGGACAATAATGAGGCGGCCATCTGCGTTCGGTTCGCGGCTCTTCACCGGCATTGGAAGAAGTCGGGCCTACTGGGTGAACCCCTGATGACTCCCCGGGAAGCGAAGGGTGTCTCGCCGAGAGACATTGAGAAGTGCCTCAGGAACATGGAAGAGGGGAAACCCCCAAGCCTGGCTCGTGAGGAGTCCGGCTGGACTTGTCAATTGATGTAGGTTACCTTTATACCTTACCTATATCTAGAAGAAAAATATATATATGTACGTATCATTTTATTTTGAATCTCTGCAGTAGGACATAGTAGTTACAGAAAACTAAAGGGACTGCTTGTTTCTATGAGTTGTTTCGGCGTTCCTGCGGCAGGCTACCTTTGGCATTATTGCAAATTGGCACGAGTAAGCCACCCCAGCCCACTGTAGTAGTATTTTGAGCAATCGAACCACATGGTCTAAGGCGTTTGGTTACCAGGCTGGTTAGCTGCTTGGCGTTGATATCTCTGACCGCGGCCCTGGGCTGCCAGGCCTTGGTGCCTGAGGGTTGTTTGCTCACCGCCCACCTCGGTGGCCTGAGCTAGTTCTCCCAGATAGCCTCACGTAGAAGAATCAATCCATCTTCCACCTCTTTCAGAGGCGTCATCAATCTCTTCTTGCTCCCCTTGTACCAAGCGCGAAGGACTGGCTATCCCCGAAGGAGACTCACGCTTTCTGTAGCGAGAAATGGAATTAGAGCCGTGTCGTCGTGGAGTATGGATCGAAGATTGCCCGCAAGCCCCAGCAGCCGGATACCGTTACCTTCGGCTTCTGGGGCAAGGTCACCACCGGCTTACACCCGACTAACCATTACGGAATGCTCGCCGTCATGCTATGTGTGACCTGCGGCCTCGCCCTGTTGTACTATCTGGTCCAACTGTCACTTCCTTACTCGCCTCCGAAGTCCAACTGGCAGAAGTTTCTAGAAGGGTGCAAGGCCTTGTTCGGCTATTGATTCGGTCGGGTTGGGGCAATCGGTCAGGAACACTACCATTGTCCATGCCCTTGGCTGAATTACCGGGTATATTGTACTGTAATTCGTTGTGCCATAGAATATCAAGTATCAAGCTGCCTTCCCCGATTATCGCTATCTAGTAGGCGCAGCTACTTACCCCTCCTGCTCCTCCCAAGGTTGCAGTTGGCCCGGAGTTGGTGGCGGCGGTCGGAGACTGAACCTGAAAGGTGGCGATGTGAGGGATAAGGTATGCATCTACTTCGAACACGATTACTATCAGGAAGGAAGAATAAGAAACTATCCAGCTAGAGTAACTTGCCGATGTATCCTCTCGCTTGGAGAGCTTCTTACCACGGCGTCTTCCTCTAGGATGGTTCTGTCCTGCGTGCCACTTTTGCTTTTATCCGGGTCTTTTTCTTTTTGGCGGTGCAGGATTATCTATTCGCAATAGACCTAGTGACTATTCCATCCCAGTAGTACTAATGCTTTGTGCTGTGCTGGCTTATTCTGCTGTCCGAAGGAAAAGTAGTAGCCTTCCCCCCTGTTCCCATGGCCTCCATTCCTTGTGCCTGTCCAGATATATGTCTAATGAGTGACACTACTGCCAATGTTATAGAGATATGATCAGACCACAATACCTCGAACCTTTTGGTAAGCCTGTCTTTGATTACATAGAGGGTTCTAGATCTCAGCTGCTCTCTAGATACCGTCTTTCAGGTAAAGACTAGTACACAGTCCTTAACCCCGTGGTCGTATGCACCTCTCCGCATGCGTCCGCTAACCGGAAGACAAGGTATGGATGGGCTCCTTTCAAGCTCCGCCCCTAGCAGCGAGGCAGCAGCTCTGTAGCTGAGCGGCACTTGGAGAGGAAAGGGCTTGGCTATAAAAGAGCATACCCCCGAGATATCGCTTTTCCCTTCCGGTGGCGGTTGCGAAGAAGAAAAATAATTTCATGTTCGACTATGCAGCTCTAAAGACCGAAGTCCCGAGCTCGGAGCTCGGGGCTACCGGCAGGAATCTAAATCCGATCTAGACCGAGCACTCACTCCCCCGATTCCCCAATGTTTTCGGACATCATGCAGCTGCACAAGATGACAAGACCCAAAAGCACTGACTCTACGACTTTCACGTCTGCCCAATAGCTCGCAAGCGCGATCCAAAGACCCACAGTATCACAGGAATAGGCCAACACACCGCAACAAAGATCAATCCCAGCAGGCTGTTCCCCCACCCGTACCCGAGGGCGGCATACAAATCCGGGGCGAAGATGGGGAAGACGAAGCCGAGGATGTTGGACAACATGCGCGCGGCGGCGTTGGCCGAGGCGGCGTGCGTGGTGAACTCGTCCAGCAGGTAGGCTAGCATGCCCTGGGACAGAATGAAGCTGCCCGTGACGAAGATGGCGGTGCCGACATCAACGATGATCCAATGCAGGCGTCCCTCCGCCGACCAGCCGTACAGGAAAATGCCCACGGGGGTCAGGAGGATGCCGAGGACCAGGAACGGGACCCGGAATTCTGGGGTGGGTGCGCCGTCGTGGTGGCGCGCCCTTAGGGCTCGGTAGATTCGGTCCATTAGGTGGCCGCCCGCCTGCGAGGCGGTGATGGTGCCGATCGCGATGGCGATGTAGTTCAGGCTGCTGATTGTCGCGGACTCGTCGTACCGCTCGATCCAGAGGGTCGCGTAGGTGGATAGCAGGAGGCAGTAGATGGCGAAGTTCAGCGCCATGATCAGCGCGATGACCTGGATCGCTGGGCGGTAGATGAGGAGACCTAGTGATCGAATGAGGTGGACGCCTAGCCGGGCGCTGAGGTCTTGATAGAAGGCTTTGTCGAGTAAGGGCGTGAGAGAGTGTTTGCTGAAGGAGGAGAGAGGAGCAGGGGTGGCATTCTGACGGTAGCGGTGGAGGGCGGCCTTCTTCCGAAGTAGACTTGGGGTGTAGCATTCCGGCAGAAAGAAGATGTCGATCAGTACAATCACGGCGTCGAACATGGAGAGGATCCAGAATAGCCAGCCCCACGGCAGATGCTGAGAGATTACTCCGCCAATGATGGGACCCAGGGCCGGACCCAGATAGGGGATAAAGGTGGCCAGCGCGAGGGAGCGTCCTCGATGTTCCGGCCGATACATGTCCGCCAGGATAGGACCCGTGAGCTGTATGAAGCAGACCGCGTCAGTTGGCAGTGCATTCAACTTCATCCTGGAATGGAACAATAACAAAATACTGACCGTGATGCCTGCACTGGCGCCTGATCCGGCCAGGAATCGCCCGGCCGTCATGAGCCCGACTGAGAAGTTCACGGGACACAGTGCATTCCACAAGGTATAGAACAGATTACTGGCAATCCATACCGGTCGCCGCCCGTACATTTCGGAGAGAGCAGCGATTAGAAACGGAGCAAAGGCGAGACCCAGGATGAAAATAGAGAAGGTGACCTGAGTGGCCGTACTGCCCAGGTGAAGGTCGGCGCCGATTTGAGTTAACGCGGCGGCCATCATACTAGTCGACATGAGGGTGACGAGTTGCCCCAGCGAGACGATCAGCGCGACTGAAACTTTCCGTATGGAAGACCAGTTGTAGGGATCGTGGGGATCGTCAGGGGAGTCCCAGGTAGCCTAGGGATGGGTTGGAGGTTAGATCAAAATTGGCACCGGGGAGGGCATGATTATAGATCGAAGTTTCTGACTTACGCCATGTTCTTCGAGCAAGGCGTTCAATCGCTCTTGCTGCCGATCGGTGATGGTCACCACAGGCGGTGACGAAGTCGCTTCAGCCGGAATGTCCTTTTCTTCAAAAGACATGACGAAGACGCTTAAATCCGTGTTTCGATTTGAATGTCAAATAGACTCAACAGATCTGGTGACGGTGTTGGAATCTTATATAAAGAGGAGGTCTCGGAGGACAGTGAAGAGGGTCGGAGAAAGGTCGGAGAGTGAAAAGCTTAACACCGAGGCTGGTATAATATAATTCTAGAGGAAGAGAAAAAAGAAGTAGGATACATACTGCGGCCTCACTCCGAGTCTGAATTACGGCATGTCGTCAATCAGGGACTTGACTTTTCAAATTTATTGCTGGCTCAGGTGGCTTGAGTAGGGCTGAGCGGGCGGGAAGCCCCATCTTCCACTCCCTGTGGTCGTACGTAGTGACCATTCCTGTAACTTATGTATATAGATGTAGTTCACTAATTCAAAGTAAGACCCGCGAAGGTGGTACGATATTGCTGCTTTACTGTCCGTTCTTTCACCAATGGCCGTTGCCGACCAAGAGATTATCTCACATTCGACCTGGAGGCACAGTCTTTAGCCAACGGTGCGATCAGCCTCTGCATGGAACACGACCAATTGTTGGATATGAGCTGAAACAAAATGAATTCCAGTTATGAGCTGATAGTAGGTGGAATGTTAGCATAGCATCTTATCACATTCCTTCTCACCATACATATCCAACTCAAGCACTCTCCAACACCGCACTATCGAAGTAGGATGAGGGCAGTGTTCTCAAGTCCGATGGGAACAGTCACCAATCTTGGAAACCTTTTGTTCCCCTCGTAATCCATTATCTAAACTCCAAGTGATTGGAGACGTTTATCGTCCCGAGGCGTGCTCTTTTGAGTCGAAGGCTTCAGCAACTCGAAGCTGCAAAGTAACTCATCCGATACACTCATGACGCCACCCCAGTTGTCGAATTCTCCACAGTACTATAAAACAGTGAGCTCAAAGTGCTGCAGGATGCAGAGTCATTCGACCCAAGTAGCGATTATCATCCATCAAAGTGGAGTAGTACTTACGTTTGGGGCAGAGAAGACGGTCACCAGAAGCCGATCCGGGTAGAACTCGTACCCATCTTCCACGACCATATGGGCTCGGCAAATTAGGTCAAAGTCATGGCGCTGCAAGAAATCCACAATCACTCGCCTGCCGAAACAATAGCTCACACCTCGTTCATCATTGGTATCCCAGTCTTGCTCCGAGTCGATGGGGTCGCTCCACAGGAGGTCGTTCAGAAGACCATAGTCTGGCACGTCCGTCGGGCGGGCGATGCGGCGGATGTCCTCCAGATCCGATAGGGATGGCGACAGGCCACCGTGCACACAGAAGATCTTTCCGGCGACGATCGCGGCGACGGGCATGCAGTTGAACACATTGATGAAGGTCTTCCAGGTTTTGATGGTCGTCCGCCGCTTGCACTCGTCGTAGAACCCGTACACCCGGGTCACGTCGGCACATTCGTGGTTGCCTCGCAGGAGGAAGAAGTTCGTGGGGTAGCGCAGCTTGTAGCACAAGAGAAGGAGGATGCTCTCCAGGCTCTGCTTACCGCGGTCTACATAGTCGCCGAGGAAGAGGTAATTGGCCGCGGGAGGGAAGCCGCAGAGCTGGAAAATGCGGAGCAGGTCGCTGTACTGGCCGTGAATGTCCCCGACCACCTTGACGGGGGCATTGAGCTCGAGGAGCACGGGTTGCGAGAGGAACAGCTCGCGCGAGGCGTGGCAGATTAACTGGATCTCGGCCACGTCGAGGCAAAGGTTTTTCTTCGAGGGTCCAACATGACCAAGGAGGCGTGCGATCATAGCGTCTAGAAGGACGTTGTCAATAGCTCCCGTTTCCAGATGCTCTGGCAGAAACCGAGCAGCATGTCCCATCGGGCTGTCCGTGTCGAATGGGAGGATCGGTCCTATCGGCGTGTTTTCAATGAGAATAGATTCACGAAGCTGGGTTGGTGATCCAAGCATAGATGCGGGCAGCGGGTGCATAGCAGGAACATCGGAGATACCATCGACTTCCCCGGACTGTTGCATGAGAGTGGCATCCATATGGCCCCGTTTGGAAAGAACACCAAGTACTGGTGATGGGAGCGGACTCGACCCGTCGCTCTCCTCAGCTTCAGTCGCAGGTCGCTGTGAAATGGCCGACAAAGGTCCATCCTCCGATGCGACAGAGCTTGATAGTTCGGGCTTCGATATAGTACTCATATCTTCCTCTACCACCTGCGACAAGTTCGAACTTTGGTGTGATGCAGTATGCTTCAGACTGTGGTGGCTCTCCTGATGCGCCAGGCCTGTCTTGTTGTCAGTCGGGAGGACGCCCAGAAGATCACCAGCATCGGTTTGTCCTAAGGGCTGTGGAGAAGTTGCATCCATCGAATCGACGGGCTGATTGTCTAGGATTTCCTCGGCACTATACACATAACCGTCTGCCAGATCATCGGTGTTGGTATTGTGCTGAGGCTCACTTATAACCGGAGATGGCAGGCGCTGCTTGTAAGCCAGATCTTGAAGCACGGGGTCTTCAAGATTCCTAGATGACTCCTCATTGACGATTGCAAAGCCCCACTCAAATTGTCGAAGTCTTCCCAGCGGCATATTACCACTATTGGAGGGAGCATGGGTGAAATGAGCCGATTTCTCTATTGGGCTGGAGCTCTCGAGGCTGGGTGACGACGCCCTGGAATCAACCCTGCCAAAAGAATTCTCTAGGCTGCTCTGCTCCAAGTAAGCAACCTCGTCAGCTGTGCCGCTACCGAAATCTTCAAAGGCAAGGGTGATGAATCTATCCGGGTCATTGTCTATGGTGCTCCGCTTATGAGGCTTTGATGCTCGTGAACTCGGGTTTTCAGCTGCCGAGCTTTCCGACCCTTCATCCTCATACGGCGGCAGAGATTGTAGAGCAAGGTACCTCAAATGCCCCACGATATGCTCTATGATCGTGCCTGCCTGCGAAGTATCGCTGGAGCCACAGAGTGGACATGATTCGAACAGTGGTTCAACCGCACGCGCGTTCCTGTCAGCCAGCACGCGGAGCTGGGCATCACTGAAGGCCCCCTGGTGAGCCTGTCGCATGTGGTCTATATAGCGATCTCGTGAGAGGAAAGTCGACAGCCCGTGCGATTTAGAATTGCAGCGCCAGCGCAAGGCATGGTCTTGCATATGTTTCAACCATTGTTCGGTGTGACTATATAGTTGATCTGGAGTCTCGCATTCGTCGAAGAGGCAAACGTATGCATCCAGATCATTCTTAACGTGAGCCCTAGACCTCCTAGTCAGGACCTTCTGGAGACTGAGTATAAACGGACTGAAGAGGTTTCGTGAGAGAGACCACTGGTGGTACCTACTTCCACTTCGCATCATTCTGCATCTCCCGTGCTGGAACAGCGTAGAAGCAAAATGGACATGTCATTTCTCCGATGGCTTCGACACACAAATCCCAGTTCCTATCCAGATCTTGCTTGAGATCCGCTTCCACTTTCCTTTTGAGGGCCTCGAGGGTGGAAGGCGATTCAGTGTCGCACTTGTCGGACAATGACTGCAGGTTCAGTCTATGTTTCTCCTCCAGGCCTTTTCTTATTTTCCTGTATCTTTGTCTCACACGACCAAGAGGTGGTGCCGGGAATGGCAGCGCTTCGTGGCTGTCCAGCGCTACAGTTCTCGCACCCGAGACTGTGGAAGGGGTAGAGGCCTTTCTGAATCTTTCGACGGCTAGCGTGGTTGCACTGACTCCAGCTTGTGAGTTCGCCGGCATTTCGCTGGCAATTGGAGGCGATGCCGACGGGATCACAGGGGTACTGATAGCGGTCTGTCGAGGCGCATCCGTCGGCGGCGGTATCTTTTTCGGCGGAGAATTTATGAATGGTACTTTCAACGCCTGATGGCCGAAACGAGATCTCTTGTACAGCACCCGTCTTCGGCGAAGGATCATCGCGGAGACCAGTCGACGCAGGATTTTTTCGTCCACGTTACGGAATCTGTCGCGGACGTAATTTGCAAACACGGCTTCCAGACATGGCTCCACATCGTTCCCCTCTTCATCCCGGATCCTGAATGATGTGGACGCTTTTGCATTGTGGGCCTCGCTGCTCGCTCTTCGGATCGTATTAGACAGTCGATGAAGGAGCGCTATCTGGCCGACAACGCCGCGCCTCGAACGAGTGATCGTATCGCTTGCAGATGGAAGAGCAATGTCCGATATCTGAGATCTGGAATCCGACTCGCAAAGCATGTGCGACCCTGTAAGATAATTCAGTATATCTAGCATCCCATCCTAACGAGACATTTGTCTCACTTACAGGCTTCTACTTGGTCTTCTAGCGTTTCCAGAAGCCCGATAATCACTTCATGCACCTCCTGTGCTTCTCTTAGGCGGTGATCCAATGAGGCGCGTCCTCCGGCAAAAACACCGATATTGGCCGCCCAGAGAGAGAAACGCGCGAGCTGGTCTTCCACCAAGGTCATTTCCAGGGACGAGATCGATGCAGACTGCTGCAAACATTGCTGGAAAAGATTCAAGCATCGATCGGCCGTCGCCGCAATTGTGTGGAACTGTTTTGGCTCTGGTGGCATGCCGTTAATTCCTTTTCCCCGAAGGAAGCAAGTTCGAGAATTCAGTTGACGAAAGGCCGACTGAGTGATTGATGAGAAAGAAGATGCAAGGCTGAGACGTGAGGGGCAGGCAGGCAGGCCTGGCCCAAAGCGGTTTAGTGGTTTTGAGGCATCGATAAGGCATACCCCGCATCTTCACTCTTCCGCGCGCCCTCAGCCTCGGGGAACATCAGCACGCCGAGCGATGTAAGGAATGACCATGACCGTCATTCAAAATGTGGAACTGTTGCTCCAGGTGTCGGAGATGCTTCGTGAAATTGCGAAACATCTCCGGAGCCACGGCGCTACCCGAGAGTCTAAGCATTTCTACAGCAGCGTCATGGCTCATTGCTTGATGATTCACGATCACATCAGCCGCATCGAGGCCTTCATTGCCGATGATAATAATCTGATCACAAGCATGTTGCTTCGACTCGAGGTAACCGTCACTTCTGATGTCTTGAAAATTCAAGCTACCTCTCATTTCTTGAAAACTCGATCGGTGCTCTCAACCACGGCTTACCCTCGGCTCGCAACGCTACTCGACGCATGGAACCATGCTCGCCGTGAGGGCGGTACCATGGAACTGCAGCTCTTAATGCTCTCAATCGACCTTACAGAAGACCCAGAGCAACCGGATAAGCTGATTGAATTTTTCGAAGACTGGGAAGATGACCTCAAGGTTCAATATCCCGACGATCCGGCACTGTGGGCTCGAGATGATATGGCCAGCTTGAAGAAGAATAGAAGACAGCCGTCATACTTGGTTCTGAATGCCCCACAGTCATTGTTCCTTGCCCTGGTGGAGTCGAAAGACTGTACATGTCAGCCTGTACATGACTTCGGTGTTCGGCTTTGTCTGGGAACATTTCAAACTCTCCCGGAGACTGAGAAGGAGCGGGAGCACGACTGCGCGTTCGAGATGTTTCTATCGATGCAACAGGAATGGCACGAGGCTGACGTGTGTTTCGCTAAGAGTGCCGGAATAAACTTTGCGCAGACCAACAAAACCGCGCAGAGGCCAAAGGTCCCCGCCATGAAGATCAAGAGTCTATGTGAACCGATTAAGAAGAGAAAGCCCTATGATCGTCTAAAGCTGAAAGTTGGGGAAGATGGACGACTGTGGAAGCTGCGTTCCGAAAAGTCCTGCTTTGCAGTGGATGAGACTAAAGCGCCGGTCTCACTGCAGCACTTTATCCAGGGCCAGTACAGGTCGCTGACCGATAAGACCAAACGTATTCTGGCCGTGATTCTCGGATACGCTGTTCTATACCTCCATGAGACTCCCTGGCTTCCGCCCTCATGGGGCCCTTCGAGTATCTTGTTCTTCCACACGACTTCGTCGGCGATTCCTCTCAAACCCTTTATCCAAACTCAATTGGCAAAAGATCACGCGGTCGCTTCTCCGAGCATTTCCATTATAGACTCAGATGACTTTGATCCCGACGACTTAGACCCTGATGACATTATGATACATCAGTGTCCGCATTTGGTGACGTTGGGGATAGTGTTGATGGAGCTGTATCTCGCCACTCCCTTCGAAGAACTAGCCGAAAAATACGGTGTGCCTTTGAATGATCGGACGAGGTCCATCGATGCAGAGCTAGTGTTTGAACAGTGCAAAAATGAAATCCCGGAGAATTCCCAGTTCCATTACGCCGTGAAGAAATGCTTAGACCCAAAGGTGTGGGAGGACAACAATGGAGCCCGCTTAAGCGACAATGCATTGAAAACTGCAATATACCAGGAGGTTGTTAGTCCATTAGAGGATGAGCTGAGCCAAGCCTTTAGCTACATTTCTCTTGAACAACTTGATCGCATTGCACAAAGCCTGGATCTGGCTAGTTGGGGTCAGGCTATCCAGACTTACCAGGCTTCTCCTCGTTCTCCTGGAACTCCCGTCAACATGGCGTTGAGACCAGCACAGGGGCTCTCATCGATCCAAGACTTGAAAGATCAATATCAACAACAGCAAAGATATCTAGCGCATCTTCAGGGATCGGTCTCATTGCCAGTGATGCCTATTTTTCAGCCTGTTTCTTCTGCAATGACCGTGCCCCAACCAGGGATAACGGCTCAGGTTCCTTACTCAAGCATGAAATTCTTTGATGATGAAACAGCTGCCGAAGAGCATTCAGCAGAAGCGTAAGTCTACAAAATGACTCTTTCAGCTGTAGGTCCAGCTAACAACCAGTATAACGAAACAGATGTATCAATTACCGCAACTGGCGTCAAAGATATAAAGATGTCTACGAGAAGCACATCTTTCAGCCACCCAGGATTCCGGTGAAAATCGCTGTTTTTGATACCGGAGTGGATCAGACACACCCAGACGTAGATGCATGCATTGAGCAGATCAAGGGTCAATTCAATTGGACGAACGAGAAATTTCCCCGGCTGGTCGACGACTACAACGGTCACGGAACCTTTATCACGAGCTTGCTCATGGAATATTGTCCCGATGCAGAGATCTACATCGCTAAGATTTCCGACGGCAAACCATCCAGTCCCAGCATCATCGCCAAGGTAAGATCGGACACGGTGTTGTGATGGCACATCAACTGACTTTGACAGGCTCTAAACTATGCAGTCAACGAATGGGAGGTTGACATCATCTCCATGTCGTTTGGGTTTCACACAAGGGATGTCGAAGGCTACGATGAGCTGGAACGTGCCATTCACAACGCATACTCCAGCCATGTTCTTCTCTTTGCTGCCGCTTCGAACAGCGGTGCGAACCTGGACAGGGCTTACCCAGCTCGCGATGAGAATGTGATCTGTATCAATTCGACAGATGCAAATGGAAACCGCTCACCCTTTAGCCCTACTGCTCTCGCGGACACACTGAACCTGGCCACGGTCGGCGAGGCCGTGGAGTCCGCTTGGCCAGTGCGTCTCTGCGAATCGCCGTCCGGCCTCAAGCATAAATCGGGGACATCATTCGCCACCCCCATCGCGGTTTCCATTGCGGGCTTCCTGCTGCAGTACACCCGGCTACATATCCCCGAGCATGCGTACCTGTTGCAACGACGGTCGAAAATGCAAGCCGTGCTGCGGAAGATCGCGGAGAAGAGCCTGGACTCGCGAGCTCGCGACGACTACCATTTTATGGCCTTGAGCCTTTATTCCGATAATCTATTTGGGAAGGACCCAGAGTTCATCAACCATACACTGCGCGATATACTCCGCCGGTAAATCATTGGAGACTTGCTGCGCCATCCGGCCGAGGTACGCCAACTGTAATGAGCTCGTCTCCCTCCGTCATTTGCACGCCTGTCCACTCTTTCCCATCATCGCCCACTTCCAGCTCGTCCTCCTCAAGAACAAGAATACCCCGCGGTCCTCCCAGTACTGCGGGCTCATTCCCCAGCATGGCGCCTTTGCCATAATCCTCCACCTCGCGCACCTCGTTCGTCTTCCTTGCCACCTTGATCCTTTTGACACGAAATGCTAGAACGAAATCCCCCCCGTTCTCCCAGTCCATACCCACCTTCTTGGACCGGGTGAGTTCAAACTCCGGGCCCCCAGCCACCGGAACCACGCCGCCACTCCACACCGTGCCGTCCACGGTGGCCGCCAGATTGCCGCTGATCTCCCGCCCGGTCCGCGACCGGCCCGCCTTCGCCCCGTGGACCACCTTCAACCCCACGATGAGATACAGCGGCTTCCTGTAGCGGGATCGCTCGAGCCACCGCTGCACCACAGGGGAGGCATCGATGCATTTCTCTTGGACGTAGCTAGGACGGGGCACGAATTGCGAGGTGGTGATGGTCTCGAAACGGAAGGTCTCCTCGTCGCTGCACACGCGGGGTCAGAACTTTCTGTGCTTTTCTTTCTACGTCATGTATTTAGGGTATGTGCCCTTGTAAACTATCATCCGTATAGATCAAAGCATTACTCATTCAGCAACACCGTCCTAAAAAAAGAAAAAGAACTCACCTTCTCTCCCAACCACCTCTAACATCAACCCCCACCCCCAAGAACGAGAGAAATTGCGTGAGGATCCCGAATTTCCCAGCCCGCAGGCGCTCGCGCGAGAAGGTCACACCGGTCTTGTCGGAGGCAAAGACCTCGGATTCGGCGGGCAGGGATGCGGTGAAGAGGGGCTGGTCGGGTTTGTGCAGCGAGGTGAGCACGTTGCCCAGCTGGATGGGCCCGGCGGGCGGCGGCGGGTAGTCCCACGTGGGCGCGAAGAAGAAGTATGGGGTTTGGTTGGCCATCGTGACATCAAAATGAGTCTTGTTTGGGTTTTTCTTTGTCCCCTACCTGTTGTCCTGGAAAGAAAGTTCTGAAGTGAAGTGGGAGCTGGGCAGGTGAGCACATCTTGTAGGGGAAAGGCCGGTGCGGGCTGCGCGACTTGCGGCTGACGGTTGAAAGGCGGGGTCAATGTACGTTTAGAGCTGAGTAGGGAGGGTGTGACCCTAGTACCGAGTAGTCTTGAATAGTGACGCAGGCAGACAGCTGTATGCGCTTTTGGCGAACCTGTGTGTTACCAAGGGAGCAATCCCTCTTTCTGGTTTCATTGAGCCATGCCGCAATTCTTATTCACTCTATTTAGCCCATGGCGTCGATGTGGATTACATATATCTGCCGGTGGCTGAATAATGCCGGTGACTCGGCCGATAGATTCACCTGTCCCAGCTGGCCCTCGAAGTTCATATGACAATGCGCGGGTTCGGTTCGAATTGGCCACCTCCTGCTTATCCAGTGTGAAAGGCATTGTTTTGCATAGCGAGATAACTCCAACTTGGTCAAAATCGAGAGATCCCGTATCATTTGGGGTTTCAGAAGATATACCTACTCCACCAGCGGGCAGCTCCGATGGCTCAGTACGGAGGTAAATGCACTTCCCAGCAGCAACTTCTTGGAGACCGACCAGGGAATTGCCATCATTCACGCGTTTGGATGGGAAGATGCGTATGGTGCCGAGAACAGCAAAGCAGTGGATGCAGCCCAGTTACCCTCATATACATTCTTTTCACTCGAAGAGCAGCTGACCCTCGTGCTTGACTTGGTAGTCGCTGGGGTGACCCTGCTCAACATGATCCTTATTGTCACCCTGAGGAATAATTTCACAGCCGGCGATGTGAGACTAAGTGTGGACGTGATTCTGACAGTCACTAGGGCCCTGTTGATCACGGTCCAATCATGGGCCAACTGCGAGGCCTCGCGGGGCGTCATTCCACGCATCATGGACTCTGTGAAGACGGTGATCCCCGAGCCAAGAGCCGACCTCGCCAATCGTACCGCCCAAATCATGGCCCGTCACCGGTGCGGTTGAGGCGAGGAATGTGGTTGCCGACTACTATATGTCCAGCCGACCGGAGCACCTTCGGGAGCAGCCCACGCTCTCGACCATACCTCGTTGAAGGTGGACCCGGGCCAAACCATTAGCATCCACGAACGCACCGGCAGCGGCAACCCCTCTCTTCTGTTGAGTTTTGCACGTCTGCTCGAGCTGTCCGAGGGGAGTATCGCCATTGATGGCCTGATCTGACCTCGATCCCACGGGGCGTGGTACGATCTCGATCGAGTACCATCCCACGGGACTCGTTCATTCTGGCGAGCGACTCGGTACGTGACAACCCGGACGCCGCGGGACTCGCGACCGATGAGCAGATTCTGGATGTTCGGGATACGGTCCATCTCCGCTCGCAGTTGGACAACAAAGCTCTGGATTCTGGCTTCGCCGCGAGTGCCTTTCTTGACGTCTCCAGGTGGGATAGGCCTCTATCTCAGGGCCAGTTGCAGCTGTTCTCTCTTGCGCGGGCCCTTCTGCTTCGCCGGTCGCGGGGCAAAGTGGTGCTGCTGGATGAGGCTGCTAGTAGCATCGACCTTGAGACCGACGCACTGATACGAAAGGTGCTATGTGAGGAGCTCAGAGGATATACCGTTCTCGTGGTGGCTCACCGGTTGGAACCGATCGTTAGTGCAGACTCCGTTGTTGTCCTGGATTAGGGCCACGTTGCCGAGATTGGGAAAGTCCATGAACTGCTACAGCACCAAGAGTCAGCGCTGAGGTCTCTCTTTTTAGTCAAAAGTCCGCGTAATGGATTTTAAATACTGCAAGTCCACATAGGCTCACAAGCTTTAGGTGCAACAATAAAATAAAAGAAATACCTCCGCCAAAGAGCCTCACACTGATTAGCTCCTACATACCTGGGAAGGTAGGGTCATGCGCGGTTTGAATTTCGGCTAAAGCCAGGTTGCTATCTTATTCCCTGGTGCCAGAGGCTGTTGGCTTCTAGGTTCCTGGATGTATTCCTTGGTCTATTCGTTACTTATTAATACTTATTGATCTACCGGTAACTCACTCATCTAGGGGTTAGTACATACAATGTGTTAGCACCACTGTGCATATTTGTTAACCCTGATTCAATTTACTAAAGGGCAAGGTAATTAAAAGGGTCGACGAGGTACAAGGCTAAGATTGTATACGAGGGATTCATCTGAAGTAAGACAGAAACTCCTGGTTGCACTGTGACAGAAGATGTATAAGCGATTGGATGTCTCAGGGATGGGCTATATGGAAGAATTTCTTAAATTCTTGGTGGTTGGATTGTTGAGCTGAGTTCTTAAGATGTGCCGCTTTGAAAGCTATCTGCTATTCTCCTCAAGTATCTCTGTACTCCGAAACTAAACTAACAAAATAAAGTGTCACAAGGAGAGCAAGACACTCAGCCAAAGGCAAAGGGATCGGGGCGCTTAGGACACCTGTCCAACTGCCCCCACCTCATCCGCCAATTGTAATTTTTCTGCCTGACCTCGACTACAAAGTCGCCTCCTTCGCGCGCGAAGTCCAGGAACTTCACGCTTTCATAGAGCTGCTTCAGCCTCGAGAAAACATAGGTCGCCAGCAAATCCCGCAAACAAAATATCTCATCGTCCCCAGGGCGTGTATGGAGGTACGAGAAGCGCACCAGCTCAATCAGATAGTCCACGTGGTCCTCGAACAACTCAAACTCTCGGAGTGTCGTCGCCAGCTTTTCTAAAACGAGATCCCGAAGGGGAATGATGCCGTGTTGCTCCGCCAGGACGCATAGCTTGGCATGGCCGAGAAGGTTGGGCGTAAGTTGCTTCCGGAGGTGGAGGGGTATCTTGCGAGGCGCGTAGGCCTTTTTTCTCTCTTCGGAGACTTGGCCCCGCCTGGCCGTGAGACAAGTGTGGAGATGGTTGAAGGCATCGCGAGTACTAGGCGGGTTGAAAATCCGAGGTAGATCCAGGGCTGCCGCACCGGGCTTTTCTGACTGTGCGGCTGATCTATCTAAATAGACGGAGGGTAGTCGAGGTCTCCATGATTCACTATAGATCCCTCTCCCATCTTTTGACGGGCGCGGAAGGAACGGTTTTGTATCAGCCCTCAGCTGAGATTGACCACCCAATGGCTTAGAGTTCCTGATGATATCCGGAGGGGGCGTGTAGTCGCCGACGTACGCGTACTCGCACAGCCGGATGAATGTGTCCGCCTCGACATACGACTAGTCGAGTTCGCTGACCCCTTTTTCAAGCAACCGCGCGTTTAGGAGGCTGTCAAGCTCGGACGAGAGGCTGGCTAGGACGTCGCAGTGAACGGTGATCCTCTTCTCTTCCGAACCGACAATGAAAGTAAACAAGCGAGATGAGATGGATCTGTTGCAGAATTGTAGTCGGTATTTAGCCACGAGGATCCTCACAACAGGGCTCAGGAACTCACTTGGCGAATTTTGAATTCATGGATGCAAGTGATTGTGGGAAGGGTTCTGGAACTCAAGAGGCAAACGGTTTGAACGAGAGGGAAAGGGTAGCGTGTAGCCGGTATGGGGTGGTCGGGGTCTGTGTACCGAATGTCGGTGATGTAGATGGTCGTGGCAGACGGGGTTGATCAGGATGCCAGGGAGCGGAATCAGTGGCAAATATAATACTGCTATGGGTGGTGTCTTGAGTGGAACGACAATCTTGGTAATAATAGAATTCAGATTCCGCTACAATAAAGGTAAAGTAAACTGTATCACTAGAAGGATGAGGCATAGGGATGAGTCTTGTGAAGTGAAGGGATTCATAGAATCGTTGTTCTGAGCTTGCCACAAGGGAATGATGGGTTCATATAGACTGCGAGAGGAATGCTCCTGCCTCAACTATGCAATCTCATAGAGAAGGCGTGAAGAGAAACTGTGTAAGCATGCAGCAGAATGAAGAAAGCACGATGTGAGCTACCCGGATTGTCAATTAGCCTGCCACACCTGGCAGCTTTGTTAGGTTTTGTTTCTGGAATTAGCAAGTTGGTAGGTGGCTTATACAAGTGGGGTAGCTCACACAAACAAGGTGGTTTAAGTAAGTAAAAAGACCTCGCACTCAAAGAAGCATTACATAACAGCAGAAAGTATAGTTAGATACATACCGCAAGGATCATAGATAATTGCAAATTCAAGAAGCCTTGAGCACAGAGACCTGAGGGTAGGTATTCAGCGCAGCCAATCACTTGTTGCTTGGTAGCCAGTCCCTCGCAGGGCTCAGCACTTAGCATGCGTCGCAATCATGAAAGAATCTGGTTAAAACTAGCAAAAACCAACAAAATCTGCAAAGAACGCAATCAAAATAAAGTTATCTCTGCATCCAATTCTAGTAAAATCTGGAAGTCCGGAAAAAGGTCATATATTTTGAGTTGGATGACATTGTAAGAGAAATATGCTCAAATTAGTCAAGCTAAAGCGACCTAGAAGCCCTATACTTCTTCATGAAGAAGCGACCTCACGTCGAGGGCACCATCATTGTCAAGCTCCGTCTCACCCAAACAAATGAAGGTATCAAGGGTAAGGAGGCAAGGCCCGAATGCCCATAATCTCCTGGTGGAGGTGCCCCGTCAAATGGGCAATGGCACTGGGCCCCAACCACTTGAAGCAGAGCGGGCACTTCTCATCCGCCAAATCCCTCCAGTCATGTTTGACCATATGCGCCTCCCACTCCTCGATCGTCGGAAACGCCGCATCCACGCCGCACTGCTCATGCAAGCAGATGTACGGGTGGAAGTCGTAGAGCACATGATCCCGCCAGGGCTCGGGCGCACAGATCGCCGCAGGGATGGAGTCGCCGCAATAGGGGCACTGCACGTGCTCCGCCCCAGGGCTCAGCGCCGGCGGGGGCGGGAAGTTACCGCCCGGCGAGCTGTCGTTGTCCGCTCCGGCGGCCGTCTGCGGCGGGCCACCACCCAGCGGCGCATCGCGCCGGTGCCATTGCAGGATCCGCCAGCGGATGAGTTTCGCGTCCGCCAGCCGCTCGTGCAGCACGCGGTGCGCGTTCGGATACCAGGTGCGGAGGCTGCGCAGCGCCTGGTGCCGGAAATCGGCGCTGCGGTCGCTGCCAAGCTCGTCAGGGACGTTGTAGTCCGGACACGTGAGAATAAACGGCGCGCTCTCGTAGGTGCGGACCCGTTGTCCGCAGCGGACGGTCAGTAACACCAGCTGAATCCAGTATTTGGCTTCTGCTTGGGCTTCTGCAAAGGCAAGCGCCGGCGCGTCGCACCAGACGCCGGATTGCAGGGGACTGGCCTGCGAGAGGGCGACCTCCACATTGCCGAGAGCGTAGGCGACGCTCAGCCGCGTCATGGGCAGGGTTCGTAGCTTGCTGGCGCACGATGATTGGTAGTCGGTCAGGAATTGGTGCTCGACCTCTAACCATCGCAGCGGGTCTTCGGGGGATGACCGGGACCGTGGGAGCGCCTTGTGAAGTTGGCTGCATCGCATGACTTGTGCCATGAGTCCCTTGTTTTGGGGTATGGCCATCGTTAGAGTACGGGGGGAAAATTCTGCCGACATTTGTGTCTTGGTGGGTTGGAAATTTTTGATAGGAGATGCAAAGCATTTGTTCAGACATATAAGGCGGCATATATACCTCATGTTGGCGGTGCATGCGGCAACGGCTCGATGATGGTGTACAATGAACCAACAAGTAGCGTGGTCATTATATGGAGAAGAATGGACAGGTGCGCATAGTCCGTCCAAACAATGGAGAATCGGGACAATGGAGATTTACTGCTATGTGTATGAAGTTTATCAGTAGCCAAACGTGACATCAAAGGAAGTCACCATGGAGCATTTGCCTCGTGCGATAGGGTCGAGCATGGATTTTGGGACTTTAGCACTACCGCGATAGGCACAGCATTTAACTGCCCCGTCCCTTTCCACAAACAAACCATGTTGACCCGACCAAACTCGCGTCCTCATCATTCCGACTTCAAAGAAGGGAAGAAGAAGCTTGCCAGTTTCTACTTATGTCTCTTCTCCCGTGGCCTCACCCCCTGGCCATGCAAGTTACAACTCGCATTGAATCTCAGATGTCATTCAAGGTTGCACCAAATGGTTCATAGGGTTTTGAATTGATCAAATCTTCTTCTTCCATCTTTCTTGGTTTTCGCTGATATTTTGGGAGATCTCTTCCATAATCTAGATTTTTGAATATCACTTGCAGATTTCGGTGAGTTGTATTATTGATAGACAGGTAGACTCGGTATTCATGTTATGGTAAGGGGTCAAATATATTATGTATCCCTACCATGGTCAGGGATACCATGAATAGTAACCATGAATAGTACACTTCGACAAAGCTTCAACCTAGAAAGCCTCTATCCCGGATCAGAACCCAGCTCCTATTCCTAAACCCTCCCAGAAGAAAGCAGCTCTACCATTTTATTTCGGATACTCGCTTGTCTGAAACAGCTCAATCCAGTGCGAAATTGCGGCCGGCCGATATGTATCCGGCTCCACCCGACAGAGCTCGGTGGCATTCACATCGAAGACCAACGCCTCAGGCTCGGTCAGGCTGTATTTGGGCCAGGTCTTGGCTCGTTTAGCTAAAGATCAATTTTGTCAGTGCCTGTGGCCCGTCGTAAAAAAAGTAATGCGCGTGAACATAGCAGCGACTTACTAGGGATATTGTTGGGATCTAGAGTGTTGATTAAGCTAATCCACATGCTCGTCATCAGGTAGCTCAGCGGCTCGAAGGTCTTCTTCTGGTCGGCCTGGTCGTTGGGCCTGAGCGACTCGGACAGGGTCACGTTATGGAAGAGGAAGGCGACGTCGTGCTGCTCCTGTGCACCGTACCGACCTGACTTGGAGTGGAAGAGAACGTCATAAACCTATGTATAAACGTCAACGCCGTGTTTGGCCCACTGATACCGGGTTATGCTATATTAGTGCAGAACCAGCGGGGAGCGGAATATATGGGCTTACTGCCCACCCCTGATGAGTTTACTGATTGCCAATGCAGGCAATGCTACAACGGCAGCCCGCACGGCGGCGGCTACGGCGGGCTGATGCTCGACCCGATCGACAGCTGCAACGACTTCCTGTTCTTCCTGCACCACGCCTACCTCGACAAGCTGTGTAAATGCTTCTGTGATAAAAGTCTCGGTCTGAATGAATGAGCTTGATTAATGAACGGTCAAAACTATGAAGACAATGGTCTAAGGCGTCCAATTGAGGGCAAAGCGAGGGAATTGAGTGAAAGAAACGAAGCAACATTTGCTGCTTCAAGGTGGCAATTGCTAAGAATTTGATAGCCTGGGGCTGCCTGCTAAGGAATGCGGACTCTGTGGTTTTGCCCTGAAACAAAATGCCAAGAGCCGAATAGAGCAATGGAACGATGGCGAGATCCAAGATCTTTCGAAGCCTTGAGGATTTTCTGATCAAAAGTTCGATGAACATTGAGTGGATCAATAAGAATTAATGTCGAAAGTGTTGACAAAGCTATATTCTACGAGAGGGCTTAGAATCCGACAAAGAGTCTTAAAGATGGTGGATTCAGGCTATCTAGAAGGAACTAGTACGGTTCACACGGCGCGCGGCAGAAGTAGTGAGAACTATCCAGCAATCAGAGGCTCGAGGCCTTCAACAAGAATCCTACAAGCTACGATACAACCAGACACAAAGCAACTCGAACACATCTTTTCATTGACCAAAGCAGACTCTGATACATTGACTCCAAGCAAGGAACACATGTTACATGTGTTCAAAACGCCCAACAGCGGGCAGCAGCAAGTGATTCGAGTACCCTGCTCACCAGAATGCCGAGGGCTTCATCCGACCGGGGTCGGAAATGAAGATGGAATCCGAACGAGAAGAGGCGGAGACCCCATCAAAGTCGGACCAAGATGCACCGTCCGACTCGCTGTCACTGTCTGACAGCCCCACACCCGATACATCGTCGCGGAGTCTCCTCTCCCGACGCGCCCACTCCCCCACAAGAACGAGGTTCTCCAACCCCCAGACCAGAACATCTCTCGTTGCCAACGCATCTTCGACGGCACTATGCCCCTGACTACTGACCTGGATCTGCCGTCCCAGCATGGCCATCGCCAGGGTCTTTAGCCCCCACAGCCGGGGGAACCGCCTCGTCTCGCCCCACCGTGTTGAGAACACCGCCTCTGCCGTCACGATCGCCGTGTCGACCACCTGCGGGTGAATGATCCCCAAGGCGTTGAGATCATTGTGCAGCGCATGTCCGACGAGCACCGTGTCGCGGTCGACATACTCCCACAGCCCCTGGCGGGCCGCCTGCCACGACTCGAACGCCTGCCTGTGCCGGATAGCCGCGTTCATTGTCCCTGGCGAGATGCCCGTGATTTGGGTCATCCAGCGTGTCACCCGCCCCGCCGGCCGCACGTAGCGGTTGATGAGCACCTCCGGTGTCAGGAAGTCCACCGCCGCGAGGTAAGCCAGCCCGTTGTAGCTCCGGCCCCGTCCATAGGGGTCCTCTGCCATTACCATCTCGCAGTCGATGACCACGGCCTTTCTTGCTCGTGGTCGCGTGGAGGTGGTATGGGTGGGCGTGTGCTGAAAGAGCGACTTGGGGACCGCTCCGTTCCAGGGCTTCGCCCACGATGGCTCGACTGCCGAGAGGTTGTACCCCTGTGTGTTGAGGCAGGTGGCTGGGTGGCAGCGCGGAAGGAGGCGCGCCAAGAGGAAGTCCTCCTTTGCGAGGACTGGTGATGTGATGGTGGTGGTGGTCGTCCTCGTGATACTGTCACTCTTAAGTAGAGTGACTGGCTCGACAGCCAAGCTGGGAGACTGCACTGGCTTCTCCATGGAGAGAAGCGCTACCTCATCCATGTCCGTGAGGTAGGCGAGTCGAGGATGCTGCTGGTTCTTTGCATCCGCACGGCTCGGCTCAGGAGGCTGCGCACTGGAAGCCGAAGTGAGAGGCTTTGCTACCGTGCCTCTATGAGGTTGCGAAGGGGATGAACACGACCCCCTTTCTGTTGATGTCGAGCCATGCGCGGCTCGTTGGTGCTGAGATACTGCGTCCGCAGTAACGAAAGTCTTCACACAGCTCGGACAGGCGAGTCTGTGCCACTTGGAGATTTGGTGCTGCCGGAGAAGCTGCACGCTCTCGAAGAGCTGCTGGCAGGTTGGGCAGATACGATCCACTGCCGGAGTAGAGTTTCCTGTGCCCGTCTGTCTTGGGCTCGTAGTGATTTGAGTCATGGTCATGGTGGTGTTGTTTAGTGTGAAGATAAAGATAAGAGGTCAAGTTCAGTGTGGTTGGAGTAAATCTTTTCGGATTTGATGAAGAGGAGGGGGCTTGGTGGTTGTCTTTGGGGGGTGGGCCATGCTTTTGTCTCCCTGCATGGTTCTCATTGTGAGCGTTGACTCATGGTGTCTCGTCAGTATACCATCATACAATGCTGCCTCGCATAGCGAACGACTGCTGAATTACAGCATCTCGCATTATGCTTAGTAGACTTTTCCAGAACCATGAGTCGCGTGAGCCCACGACGAGGACTCAAGATCAGAGTAGGAATCTAATTAGACTCTCCCAAAGTTGAGCGAGAAAACTTCAAACGACAGATGTAGTGCTGCCAAAGTGCCGACTCGACCAAGACGGCTGAGTCCTCCATTATGCAGAGCAGCACTTCCGGGACTAGAAAACGCAAATGTCAGGGATTTTACAATGCGAGGGAGGCCGAGTGTTTCCATTTGCTGTGATCCGATAATGGCCTCAAGATCAGTAGTGCACCTTTCCCGCCTCCTGCATCGTTTTCGAAATCTAAGATCTGAGATCGTGAAATCTTAGGAAAGGAAAGATGATGTAACGAAGTTCTTCATATCGCTTGAGATTAGTGGGTGGCGATCTGGATTCCATTCTAGCTAATAGTATATTCAATTTAGAGTGAATACCTACTACTTAGTTATATTCACCTTCCCTGCTTCGAGCTTTCCGAGCCACAGGCAATTTGTGTCATGCTTGCGAGGCCAGCTAGACTCTTCGGTGGAAACTTTCTGTTGAATGATGTATATATTTGTTTTTTTTCTTCTTCACTTATAATACGTAGAAGCTTAGAGAAATCTTCGACCAGGTCTCGATGTCATTGCGGTGATCTTGTGGCAGGGTAGCATTGTCAGATCCAAAGACCCACTGGTTCAAGCTAGGAACCGATTGGAAATAGTTTCCGAGATGCGGTAATTTTATTGTCGACAAGCGCACTCAATCTTTCAATACCGGGCCGTTCTCGGAACAAACTACCTTAATACTTTAAAGCTCGGGCGGGTCACGAACGGGTTCAGGACCCTGAGCCGAATTAGGGCTCGATGGGCTCTCTTCTTTGGGTCTAGCGCCGCCAGGCACCGGAACAACAAACCAAGACAAAAAAGTCAACAGCGATCGACAAGCAAAAAGGAGATTGGTTTTAGCCACTGCAGTGGGTGCATACTATTTTCCCTCTCATACTTAAAGTTGATGTGAATGTGAGGTCATATCCTAGTCCTATCTATGGTCAAGTTTTCGAATTATAGCCGAGAATAAAGTTATCGTCCATCTAGGAGACGGAACTTAAATCAGCAACCTGAGCAGATGGCGACCATCTGCTCGCGTGTATTGGCAAAGTCACTTGGCTACCTATGTATATGTAGTGTGCATGTGGAAACTTTGAGACCTGTCAGACTCGGGAACAAGCGGTGAGTAAATGATTTGGGTTTGGTTTCGACCCAAGTAGAGCGCGGCGCGGCATCTCGAATCACGTCAGGGGAATCGCACGTGATGATAGGGATAAGAGTTTAAATTTGCTCTCCCCGAACAGGTGACGAAATCTTCTCCTCTAGCTGACGCTTCCCGCAAACGGAATATCTGATCTCGAACGGTAGATGTTAATTCCGGTTGACTCAATTTAAACATCACTTTTTTGATAACAGATTGGCGATTACACTTCTCTTCCTACCGCTTAGCCCTCCTGTCAGGTGCGCATCAAACGCTCAGCCGCCACACAAATTGAGTACACCATGACGATCTCCAACAACGCGACGACCGACACTGTCGAATTTCCTCCTGAACTGCCTATAGCGCAGCTGCACACTATTGATCTGGGGAGGCTGCAAGCCGGTGACGAGGATGAAGCTCAGCGCCTACTCGACGCCAGTCGCAAGGATGGTGTCTTCTATTTGAATCTTGCATCTGCGCAGAAGGAAATCGTTCCGGTCCTGGATTCTATCTACGAGCTTTCAAACGGACTCTTTAGTCTGCCGCTCGAAGAGAAATGTCGGTATGATGTGGATAGGCTGGGTAAAATGAAATGCAATGGGTATGTTGTCTTTCTTTGTATACAATGTTCTACTGCAAACCTGACTAACACGAATTGATCAGATACAAGCCCTTGGGTCGCAACTTCGGAGGACTAGAGGGTAAACGCGATGGATTCGAGACCTACGTGGTATGATTCGACATGTGCCTGTCACCCACGAAAACGACCAAAATTCATCTGATCATATCTAATAAACCGCAAAGATCCCCAAGAACGGAATCCTGAGCCTGGACAACCAGCGGGACTTTCCCCGCCCCCCACTGATTGACCACTACATGAACACCCTGCAACAGTTCACCACCTTCGTCAACACAACCTCCCAGACTATTTTCGACAAGCTCTCACATTCCCTGGAGCTCCCCGAAACCGGGAACCTGAAGCTCCTCCATCGCCCGTCCGCCCCATCGCCGGACATCATCCGTCTCCTCAAGTACCACCCTCAGCCCGCCGAGCAGCGCGGGGTTCCACACGCCGCCCACACCGACATGGGCACGCTAACCTTCCTATTCACCCGCCAGCCCGGGTTACAGATCCAGAATCCCGGTGAAGAGATCTGGAGATGGGTGCTGCCGCGCGAGGGCCACGCCATCGTCAACTTGGGTGACGGCCTCTCCCTGCTCACCAACGGCTACCTGCAGTCCTGTGTCCACCGCGTTGGCCCTCTTCCCGGTCGGGCTATGCCGACCCGCTATTCGTTCGCGTACATGGTGCGTCCGGAGAACCAGACGGTGATGACTGCGCCGCAGACGGGATGCATCCCTGCTCGTGACCCTGATGCGACGGTGCTGACGGCGCAGGAGTGGTTGGAGAAGAAGTACTCTGTGCTACGGTTGGATGCGCGGCCGGATGACTTGGTGTGGATGATGACGGGACAGCAGGGGAGGTAGAGGATTGCCTGGGATTTGATAGACTATTTCGTTCTAATACTAAGCCTTGAACAAGGTGATGGGCTGTGGTTGTTGTGTTTCTTGATTGTCAGGAGATTTGCTACTGGGCTCATTAGATCAGTTTTCAGGACGCTGGCGAGGATTCAGAGATTGGTGGGTCACTAGTTGCTTTCTCCCTGATCTCAAGAGAAACCTTGTGTATGTACGTGCGTCTCGCATAGGATTTATGAGTTTTGCAAGGAGTACTTGTCGCTGAAGAGGATCTGTACTATGCACATGAAAGAGGGAACATTTAGAGAAACGGTTCTATTTCAAGATCAGTCATGCTTGGCACTACCTTTTTAGGCTATACCTTCGCTAAGGCAGGCCGAATAATCAAACGGAAGAACATGTAATCAAGAAGGTGGCCGAGTAACACTATATGACGATCTCAAAAAGCACGAGGTAAATATCCTCCTGTGTGTGTAGAGGTGTGTATTTGTACATGGTTGATAGCGTGGCGCTTCTATGCTGACTACAGTGCATCATTCGTTGCACGCCTGAATATCCATGCCCTCCATTGTCAACATGAGCTGCGGTAGTTTATCAGACCCATCAAGCCTCGCTGCTGAACTTCGTTCTGTCAACAGCCCAATATCAAAGTACTGGAATCCTCTAGAATGTTCTAATGGTGGTTGTGGTGGTGGCCAACGTGCCCGTGTTGATGCCGCTTCAGATGGTCTGCGGAAGCTTTGTTTGCCTGTGACGGTGCGCATTCAATAAGTCAGGGGATCATGCGTGAGGTGATACTCGAGGAACTTACATTTGACGCGGGGACAGAAGAATGAGAGGCAGAAACAATTCCAGGAGAGGCCGACGGCCCAGGTACGAGCTTGGATGAAGGCGAAACAGTTGGCGTATTAGTATGCTCCTCACCACACAGTCCCAAGATGAAACCCGCATTCTCCGCCTGCGCGACCGGGCCCGAGCCGTACAATTGGCATTCCTTGCCGTTGACAGTGAAGAGCCATGCCTGGCAAGTGCTCAGGCTCTCGCACTCGATGGCACATTCCGAAGGTGACGGATGCGTGTATCCGAAGGCTAGAGGGGCTTTGCTGAAGAAGCCGATCTTTCCATGCAGGGCACTATTGAGACAGGACGCGGATACCATGAGCGAGAAGATAGTCCATGCGAGGACAAAAGAGAGAAGGGATGGCATGGTCCAGGAAGGTTTGAGAAGACTTTCAGTCAAATTTGCAAGTGGTGATGAATAGGGAATCTCCAACGGCCTTTGCTGGTGATCAAGCTGTTAAAATTCAGGGGTCCGAAAATTCGTATGCCTAGGCGAGTGTGGGGTGTGGTGGCACGATTTTTTCGCGGTAATCTCCGAATCCTTTTCGCTTACAGACTCGCAAAATCTTGTGAAATTAATTCATATCATCTCCTACGGACCTCCGGGAGGCAAAAAGGGATCCACTTGTCGCTTGAGAGACTATTGATTTCGGGGTCCGAGCCTAGTGATGCAGGCAACAAGCTATAGCTAAGCTACGGCCAAGCTAAAGGCCCGCTAAATCGACGCTAAAGGATGGCAGCTGCGCCAGACCCTGACTCTAGACCCTGATGACAAATTCACTCCCGTGTATTGACATTACCGCTTGTTTTTTTCTGTCACCTGACACCATGCCTCTTCCCCCATCCGGGCAACAGACACCCGTCGCCCTTTTGACACATTGCTGGAACCGCAACGCAACTCTCACCATGGCTTCACGTCGCGCTCTGCAGCCATTTTACTCCCGCTCTCGTCCTCAACTCCCCATCCGTATTTTGTACATACGAAATCCATTCTCTTTTACTCGTCTAAACTCGCAGCAATTTCCAAAAATGGACAACAGCGGCGATGGCCCTCTCCAAGTTCCTGGATTCAATGGTGTTCCTCTATACTATGAGCTACCCAGAGGCTCTCGCTTCGCGCATGGGATCGCAGACTGGAGACAGAGCCCACAGTTGACCCTGCGGGAAGTTTGTATGCTACAGTTCATGTCCTACGTCACGGAGCAGCCAGACTGGGAAAACAAGTGCGACGACCCCGACACCCTCGAGATCTGGCGTGAAAAGGCCGATAGTGCTTTTGACCTGGATCAGCCATGCTGGGACTGGTGCCGCAAAGAGCTGCAAGACAAAGCAGCTGACTTCAAGCGCAAGGGTCACGTGGCCGTCTTTGATGCGGACTCTCGAGTCATCAAGGCGGAAGTCGACGCTAGTCTTCTCGCCGATCTTCGGACGGCCATGGAACCGCTTTTCTCATCGACAGAAAAGCCCGACTCGGAAGACAAAGAGGCCCTCGTGGAGGCTGGTGTTCAAGGCCCCATCCGGCATGTGGTTGATCCATCCATGTATCCTCTTGTGTATGGACGGACCAGAGTTCTCATCAACGGAGGCAAGGTCGATCTCGACAGCTTTGAGTCATGCGATAATTCTCTATGCCAGACTGCTCCGATTCCCGACAAGTTGACCAAACATCCGTATGAGCTAAACCACGAGGAGAGAGATCCAGACGATGGTCGAGCGACAAACAAGCCTAAATACTGGTCAAACAAATTCCAGTGGCTTCCGTGCGAAGTCAAGTTCACGAATCGAGGAGAAACCAAGATCACCTCCTACATCAATGGTGTGAATCCAAGGGAGAAAGAAACTTACCGAGCACTTGAGAAACTAATCGCCACCGCCATACAGCCGTGGAATGAGATGCTTATCCTTGGAAACCAAGGTCGAACTCCGATTCGTATTAGAACTTATGACTTTCAAACCGAAAACGAGGCGTTGCCGCAGGCGTACAACCTTCTCTGGGGTACAACTGTGGGGTTGAAAGTGAGATTCTCCGAAGAGCAGTGGCCTGAGATCCGATCGCAAGTGAGAGACTACTTGAATCTCCCCGAATATGAACAACGATACCAGGTCGATCCGAGCGAATCCAATGTCAAGGACCTCCTCGTCAGCATGAACCCGTCGCAGTGGAGCTCTCCCGCAGCACTAGAAGAACTAATCATCGAAAAGCATCGTCGACGATATGTCGTCAAAGGCGTAGAACCTGGTATCTCCTTCACGTACAACGAATGGAAGGCCGGGCAAAACACCGGTCGTGCAATCCTACCCAAAGTCAACAATTCTTTGCGCAGCAAGAACCCCACACCACCGCCTCCTGACCCTGACCACCAATTCTATACCGTTTCTCTTCGGAACCAATTTCAGGACCTACAGGTGATTATCAGGGTGTCTGGCATTGATCTGATCCCAGAAAGGCCCCTGTATACTGGGGAACCCCAGTTCGGGGTGGCCGGTATTCTCAATGAGCATATTGTTGCCACAGCGGTTTGCTATTTGGACGTGGATAATATCAAAGATCCGAAAGTGTCATTTCAACAAGAGACGCTTTTGAGTACCCTGGACTTTAATGTTGAAAAGTACCTAATTATGAATCGAGTTTTCGACGTTCCAGAGGAGGAAGACGATGAACTACCACCAGCACTGCAGAATCTGGGCTCTATTTCTGTTTCCCAAGCCGGGCAGCTCCTCTCTTGGCCGAACACGCTACGATCCCGAGCAGAGTCTTTCACTCTTCGCGACCCGTCTCAACCCGGCCGCCTTCGATTTGTAACCCTCTGGCTGGTAGATCCCCATTACCGAATCTGCTCAACCCAGAATGTCCCACCCCAGGACGAAAGCTGGGTTGGCACAGCCATGGCTCATTCACAGGAGCATACGCAGACTCGGGGATCAATGACGCTCGCAGAAGCGATTGATACTAAGGAACAGATGAACCAGGAGAGAATCTCTGCCGCCTGTGTATTTCACCGGTATGGTCATGGTGCTCATAGATACGCCGATGATTATCACGCATTTTACTATGGCAGTCGCGAAGAATCCTGAGTACGACTTTGTTTTCAGCCCCCTTCTGTCATACTATAGCAACTAGGCCATCATACATCATATATAAAGATACCATACCACACCCAGAACGTGTCAAAGCAGTGCGGCCTTTCACTGTTCGAACTTTCTGGCCAAGTCCTAGACAGAACTGGGGACAAAAAGACAACTTCATCCAGGGTTATCTACTTCCTCGTGTAGTGAATAGTTTGGTGGTGACTGCCGAATACGAATCAACAAATTCTTAGAGTTGCTTATATACAAACAAGCCTGGACATATGTCCCCAAGTATTACAGAGCATACTGAAAGCAGAACCACAAAAGCATCGACAGGCCTAGCGCGCCTTGCAGCTGTCCACACTATCCAGCTCACTCAAGCTCTGTCCGATTGTGTTGGTGATCTTTTGATGGTTTCTGAATTTCCTGGCCTCTTGTCCGCTTCTTCCTGAAAGACCCACGTACCAGGTACGGTAGGTCTTAATCTCCTCGGGGGATTCTCCGTTCGCCGCAGCGGTCGCGCTCCAGTCCGGCTGGAGGAAGGTAACATCTGTATCCAGGACGGCGACCTCCGAGGCCTTGAGGGTCTTGTCGGGGAAATCTGCTGCCCACAATATGCTCACGCTGGTACGATACATATCCTGCACCCGTACGGCTTGTGTTCCGGCCAGCGCCCTTCTGAACTCTGGATACTGGTTATTCCAGACGTCGGCAAAGCCTAGGGCAGTGCTACCGCGTGTGGACTTGACAATGTCGGCGATTCGCTGGAGCGTTGAACGGTGATTAATCTGAGCGCCCTCTTGAAGACCAAGAAGTTCAACAAGGCTGTACTTGTCAGTTTTCAGAGAGGCACCAATCTCGTCCAGTGTGGCTTGGTTATATTGCGGATTCATGCTTGTCCAAATGCCACTTTGGGGGAGACGTTGCGCAAAAACTGTGGAGATAAACGTCCCGAAGTCGACGAGGGCCGTGTTGCTCAGTTTTGGCGCCAGTGTGCGTGAGGCCCCGTTCGCCGAAAAGTCCAAGACGAGAGCGCAGTACATGAGAATCGCCTCGGAGGGAACCGCGAAGGGAGAACCTTGGCAGAGGTTGCCTAGCAGTGCTAGGGTGAACAAGATGGCTCGGAAGGCCTTCATCGTGACCGCGCAAGGGAAAGGAGTGACGGATAGGCCCAACAGATGTAGTAAAACAATCGGATTTCGGACGCGGCAATTAGCTGCTGTGAATATCGAGTTGGTCAAAGTTGAAAAAGAAAATAATGAGTGAGACAGGAGATTGGATGGATAAATGAATGACTGGCTTGAGATGGTGGCATGAAGAGAATGTTATCACGACAGCATAAAGGAAAACGACGGGTCAAAGAGGTAAGCAGCAAAGCGTCAGTCAGGGATCTATTCAAAATCTCTACTGGGCTTCTGGAAGATTTAACTCTTGATCTAGGGGATGCGCTTGTTCTGGATACCATCCCTATGTGCCGGGTGTGAAACGAGTTGGTATTGGGTATTTTACACTAAGAAGTGCACTAAGCCCTAGTTCCAATTTCGTACATCGACGGACTGAGACATGCGGAGATGAGGGTAACAAACCACAATCACTCCATCACACCGTCGTTGACAGGCATTTCGCTAGTTTGGATTTAGCGAGATTAAGCTCGAAGGCGATTGAAAAAATCATAGAGGGGCGCTAGACATGGTACCGAGTTGCGTCGTGGTTATGCCCATGAACTTCCCTGATGCCGTGTACCCGATAGATAGGAAATCCTCTTTATCTTTAACCCTCGAGCTTTCTTTTTTCTGCCGTCAAGACCCTCGCAAACATCAACAGACCTACTCACACACTCTCTTACGTTGTGGTGCCTACGGCTTCTTTCCTTTTTCTTTTCTGATCACGTTCTTTAACCCACAACACCTTCGGCTTTCTCTCTTTTTTTTACATTTTATTCTTTCTTTCATCTTGCTCTTGCTCTTGCTTGAAGGCTCGGGCGTACCTTCTGCCCTTAAATTCAAAACATGAGTCCTCCCATCCGAGTGTGGTTTGGTATGCTTGTCTCGACATGCTGCCTCTGGTATCAGGTTCAGGCTCGTGCTGTGTTTGCTCATTTTATGCTCTCAAACACGGCAGGATACACTTCCGACGATTGGGAAAGTGAGATCCAGCTTGCTCTGGATGCCCACATCGATGCATTCGCACTCAACATGGCGGCTGGAGAAAGTACCACCACTACCTCTCTCCCAAACGCCTTTGCGGCCGCTCAAAAGCTCAAGTTCCACCTGTTTTTCTCGTTCGATTACGCTGGGAACGGGCCTTGGGACAAGAACGATGTCGTGAGCCTGCTGGGCCAGTATGTGAGTAATGATGCTTACTACTTTCACGGATCGAATCCTCTGGTGTCGACGTTCGAAGGGCCCGATAATGCAGAAGACTGGGTGGACATCAAGTCCCAGCAATTCTGCTTCTTCGTTCCGGACTGGTCGTCGGTTGGGGCCAAAGCCGCTATGGCCCTGGCCGATGGGGTAGCAGACGGCCTTTTCAGTTGGGCTGCCTGGCCCAACGGACCCAACGACATGAATACCTATGTGGATGCGTCGTATATCCAGTACCTGGACAAGAAGCCCTACATGATGCCGATCTCTCCATGGTTCTTCACCAATATGCCCGGATATGACAAGAATTGGCTGTGGCGTGGTGACGATCTCTGGTACACTCGGTGGGAACAGGCACTCTACCTCGCTCCGGAGTTCATCGAGATCATCTCCTGGAACGACTTCGGCGAGTCCCACTACATTGGGCCTATCGTTGACAGCCACAATCCGCTAGCTGACTCCATGTACACCGCGTTCGAGACAGGTGAAGCCCCTTACAACTATGTCGAGGGCTTCGACCACAGTGGCTGGAGACAATTCCTGCCTTATGTGATTGATCTCTACAAGTATAACCAGACCAACATCGACAGTGAAGGCTTGGTGACCTGGTACCGGCTGAATGCAGCAGGTGCGTGCCCTGACGGTGGCACGACTGGCAACACGGTGTCTCAACTGCAGTTGGAATACTGGCCCAAGGATATCGCACAAGATAAGATCTTCTTCTCCGCATTGCTTGGGGAGGCTGGAGATATCTCGGTGACTATCGGAGGAGTAAATGTTGATGCAACGTGGACCAACACCCCAAGTGGTGGAGGGGGCATCTATCACGGCAGTGTCTCCTTTGCCGGCCATTCTGGCTCAGTTGTCGTGTCTGTTACTGGATCTACCGGCACTATCACAGTGAGCGGACAAGACATTAGCAGTGGATGCTGGGAAGGGGATCAAGTCGAGAACTGGAATGCTTGGGTGGGCTACAGTATGGGCGGCGCAGTCGATGTGGATTCCCCCAAGCTGAACAAGGAGGTGTGTATCGAAGGATGGGGAATGGGCGACTTCAATGGGCTTTGTAGCTACTCCTGCAGCCTGGGCTATTGTCCCGTCGGAGCGTGCGTTTGCACGAAATTAGGACCTCAGCCAGAGTTGCCCACGTCTACCGGGATCCAGGGATATCCCGCGGCTGGGAAAGACGCCAACTACGCCGGGCTGTGTTCATTCGCCTGCAACTATGGGTATTGTCCTTCTACTGCCTGTGGAACAGTATCGGTTCCATTGACTATCCCAACCGTGTCCCCTTTCACCCCAGACACTTGTGTGGCAGGAACAGGCGAGAATGACCTAGCTGGCTTGTGCAGTTTTGGCTGCAATTATGGCTACTGCCCCATCTACAATTGCACCTGCACGGCGACAGGCCCTCTGAACATGCCTCCTGCCCAGAATACCAGTATCACGGGCTGGGCACCCGACGAAGACGATAATGGTCTTTGCGAATTTGCCTGTACCCGGAACTACTGTCCAGAACCGGTCTGTTCAGACGTGACGCCTGATGATGACGCATGCGGGAATATTGACGATGACAGCGATGAGTGTGTAGGTGTCTTCAACTGCGATTTTACTATCAGTTACACCTCTCTGGACGCTCTACAGGCTGATATGGATACCTTTGACCCCTATTGTGTTGACTTTTATGTTTTGGGCGCACTGTATGGGGAGTTGGAAGCCACGGTCACCAACTTCACCAGCATTGCCAACACGAGCAACTATGACGAGTATTTCAAGGATTACGAGTCTTACATGAAAAGCCAGGTGGGGACCCAGCTTACCTATTTTATGAATATGAGCGACACTGGTGCGCAGGGTGAGGGCAACCGATTCTTCACGTGCACACTCAGTTTTGGAGGGGTGAACCGGACGGCGGGACCATGTCCTGACGATCTCGGGTACGAAAATCGCGCGCATACCGTCTATTATAACTTGATCGATGCGGACGGCTTCTATGGCAACCTCAGCGCGGAATTTGGGATAGAACGTGACTGGGTCGTGCTAGGGGGCTGGTCGAGCACGGAGGGGCCCTACTACGACGACAAAGGCAACACCGCGTGCAACGTCTACGACAATCCTGAGGCTGCCTGCTGGTGGCATCGTGGCTTCCCAATTCCAACCCAGAAGATCACCATCAGCGACCCGCGGGAGCTGATGAGACAGGCCCTGCCCAACATCCCGAACCTCCAGCTCTCCCTCCTCATCACCGAGCTTCAGATCCTATCAGGCTCCTTCGACGGCGTGATCGACGACGTCGTCCAGACGTACTCCACCGCCGTGTTCACCCTGGCGGAGCTGGTCGACCGCATCTACTCCGTGGTCGCCATCGGGGAGAAGATTGAGGCCGAGAAGAAGAAGGAGCTAATCTTGCAGATCCTCGGCGGCGTGTTCCTGATCGTGCCCTTCCTCGGCCCGCTCTCCGGCCTCGGCGATGTCATCGAGGGTCTGGATGCGGCGCTCGCGCTCGTGGGCACGGTCTCGAACGAGGCAACCGATATCTACACCATGGTGGAGGACCCCGAAAGCGCTCCGGTCGCAATCCTGAGCATGCTGCTCGACTTCAACGTGGGTGCCGCCGCCGGCGCGGCCACCAAAGATGGCGTCAGCGCGATCGAGTTCGACTCCATGGCCTTGACGCGACGCGGCATGAAGGGGTCGGATATCAAGTCGGTCGGGGTGTTGTTCGAGCAAAAGATGGATCAGCTGGAATCTATTGTCAGCAAGTGCGCTAGGCTTTGAGTCAGTTATAGCCTCATTCTTTGAAACCCTTGAAAGAATATTTCCCGACTTGCCTGTATAACAATGTCGTAAGACCTTTACACGTCGTGGGATCACGAGCCCCTCCGATTTATGGTTATGTCCCCAACCCTCCAGTCCTCATATACGAAAAACATCGCGCAAGATGCGAGTATCGATGTCAATTGCACGTACAACACATCAGCACCGACTCATATATAATCATTCGTGCAACTTTTGATGACGACCGCCACCATGGAAACCTATTGCTACCGCCGTGCTCGGCGAAACTCCTGCGGCATGTTCAAATAAACTCGGCGGGGTGGGTCGCACGGATCCGCGTCGCACGCGGCAGATCAGCACATGATCCGCACCACGCATCTAGGTCTATGTGGCTGACTTCGCATGGCACCGAGCGGATTGGTATGGTATGTTATGACTTACCCAAGCCACAAACGGTTTGGTTTCTGATCTTCTCGCTGATAAACCGTAGCTTCCGTAGAGCTCTTCCTTGTGATAAATTAAGAAGGCTCACTTCCGCTCGTTTCAAGCAGTTCTGCCCACGGAATCAAGTATCCCTGTCGATGGGACTAGCATCTCATATGGACGTGGGGATTCGTGGTCGGTATCTCGAGGATGAACTACTAAGACATCCGTAGCTGTATATCAAGAACGGCGTTAATTCCACCTTGGTTGATTCCTAATGTATCTTTTGAAGTTCAAAGGTTTTAGTCGACCTTAACATTATCGACCTATTACATCTCTAATACCGCGTTTTCTCGATATATTAGGGCTTTGGAGTCTTGCAGTCGCATTCGTAGGATTTATTTAGGGCTGAAAATTTTCTCTTAGGCCCTTTTATTGCGGTATTTTTTCTACTATCCTTGTATTAGGGCTTTTTGGAGTCGGTTTGTCGGCGTATGTGGCCCTGAACGCTGGGTCACGTGATCGGAAACATGTTAACACCACGTTGCACGTAGCTGCCAAGTTCCTCACGC